TAAAAGAAATGTACTGGTCAGGGGCTGGTGAGGATGGCTCAGCAGGTGAAGAAACTTGTCCCCAAGTCTGACAACGTGAATTTGATCTCTAGGATTCACCCAGTGGAAAAGGGAGAACTAACCCCTCTCTCTAGTTGTCCTATGATCTCCATACCACTGTTATACATGTATGCTCATAGATACACACACACACACACACACACACACACACACACACACACACACACACAGAGAGCCATAATACATTTAAAGAAATACAATGCTTTAATTTAGAGCTGAAGAGATGGCTTAGCTGTTAAGAGCACTTGCTGCTCTTCCGGAGGACCTGGGTTCAATTCCTGGCCTCACAACCTTCTGTAACTCCATCCTCCTTTGGTCTCAATGGGCACCAGGTAGACATGTAGTGCACAGACATATGCAGTCAAAACACTCATGCACATAAATAAAAAAAAAACCTTAAGAATATCTTAAAAGAAATGTTTTAATTACAGAAGACAAAGCGTTTTAATATTTTCCTACTACCATTCTTCAGCAAATAATTATCAAATTGCTGTATCTTTGTATTGTATTGTGTTGGAGTGTTTGCTTTTCAAAACTGCTGTCTGAGGGCTGGAGAAATGGCTCAGTAATTAGAAACACATGCCTCTCTTCCAGAGGACCTGAGCATGGTTTCTAGCACCAACTGTAGTAGTAAGAACTAATGTCTGGGTGCTCTGCTTCTCTGATTTTTCAGCATGAACCTCTATATCTGACTGAGTTTTTATTATTAAGACCAATTAGAATTAGTGCTACATTTGATACTCCTTCAGTTCTTTTGGGTATATGCCAAGAAGTGGAATGCTGGGACACTTAGTCCTTCCACCACTTAGAGTGTGTGTGAGTGTTACTATGGAATTAAACCTTGGGGCTCACACAGTCTAGGCAAGTGCTTTACCATAGAGACACACCTCCAGCCAACTATGTTTCATTTTTTTAGGCACCATGTCAGTTGGGTGTTGTGACATCCAGCCTTCAGGAGGCAGAAGCAGTCTCTGTGAGTTCAAGATCAACTTCATCTATACAGCAAGTTCCAAGCCAGGGCAACCCTCTATCAGAGACACTCACACACACACACAGAATCACACCAAAGCATCAAAATGTCTCCACAGTAGACATATACCATGTTAGAACAATCTTTTTTTTTTAATTACCCCTTGTATGTCTGTGCACCCCTGCTATGCCTGCTGTCCTTAAAGGCCAGAAGACAGCATGGAATCCACCAAAGTGTAACTAAGGTCGTGAGTCACCACGTGGGTTCTGGGAACTGAACCTGAGTCCTCTGCAAGAGCAGCAGGTGCTCTTAACCACTGAGCCATCTCTCTAGCTCCCCTTAATTCTTTTTTAAAAATTAGCTTTTATTACGTGTGTGTGTGTGTGTGTGTGTGTTTGCCTCAGACACAGGAGGTCAGAGGACAACTTTCGTGGGTCTGTTCTCATTCTCTCTTCCTATAGTTTGGGATCCGGGGATTGAACTTGAGTTTTCAGGCTTGGCAAGAAGGACCTTTATGCCCTTTATCTCAAATTGCACTGAAGAATATTTCAATTGCTGAACAGCTCTGTGTGGCTAGAGGCGGCCATATTGGCAACTACGTTAGAGCAGTAACAGCAGAACGGCACTTGGGGTTTAGAGTTGTGTCCCTATTCTGTTGCCATGTCATAGCTGACTGTTAACTCAGAAATTCAAACAACAAAAACTTAGTATAGCACAGATTCCAGGGGCTAGCCTGTGTCCTCTGCTCAGGGAGTTATGTTCACTGGACTTAGGATTTGTCTGAGGCCCACACTCCACTTCCAAAGCTTCGCAGCTATTGGTAGAATGCAGCTCCTCACCACCGTACAATCAGAGTCCCCACTCTCCAGCTGGCTGTAAGCCAGACACCACTCTATAGCATGACTAAGAAAAACTCAGAGACAGAAATTGGGGGTCAACTTGAAGGTCAGAAAAGCAAAACAACCAGCCACTGGCTCTTACCTTTGTCTCAGTCCGAAATGGCAATCCTGCCTCCAGGAATCTCAGAATGAGACTGTGTCCGAGAGCCGTCTCCTCCCGTTTTATATTCTTCTCTAGGGCTGGGATTAAAGGCGTGTGCCACTACTGCCTAGTTTCTATGGCAAACTAGTGTGGCTACTGGGATTAAAGGTGTGTGCCATCACGGCCTGGTCTGTAAGGCTCAACAGTGTGGCTGTTTTACTTTCTGAACTTCATCTGATCTGGCAACAGCTCTCCAGCCAATTATTGGTAATAGCCCTTTCGAATAAGCCAATCATAATAGTCAAAGAACAACCCCCCCCCCTTGCTTCTGTGGCCTTCTCCTTTAAAAGTAGCCTGTACCAACTATTCGAGGTCTCTCGGCTTCCCAAATGCTGAGGGACCCTGTCATGACAGAATTAATAAAATCCTCATGCTTTTGCATCGGCTGTGGTGTGTGAGGTGGTCTCTGGGGGCAACTCCTCTTCGGTGCTTAGACTCTAGAGTCCAAAAATGCCTGGCCCATTTTTACTTTTATGGCGCTGGGAATCCAGTCCATGGCCTTATGCATGCCAGGCATAAGCCCTACCTCTAGCTATCATGCCCCTGACCCATCCCACTTTGACATGGCTCCCAGGGATCTGAACTCTGGTCCTCATCCTGCATGCCAAGTGCTTTATCCACTTAGCTGTCTCCTCAGTCTAATACATATTTTTTTTAAGATTTATTTTTGTATGTGTGTTTTACCCAAATGTTTGTCCACTGCCTATGTTAGCCAGACGAAACGTTGGATCCCGTGGTACTGGTGTTACAGAAGGTTTTGAGCTGCGTTACAGGTGTTGGGGAATTTAAACTGGCTCCTATGGAAGAGCAACCAATGCTCTTAACCCCTGAGCCAGCTCTCCAACAGCGACCCCCCTACATACTTCTGAATGGATGGATGGCTTTAAAGTAGTCACTTCTTGTTCATCATAGATTATCTTCCCAATCCTTCTCATCTTGTCTTTTCTCCCTACCAATTTAAAATCGGCATCTCAAATCACCAATAAACCAATTTTTAAAAAGTCCTTGAAATCTGAAAATGACCTGATAGACATAAATCCTATTGTTTTCTTACTGCACACGGGCAGCTCATAAAACACTCAGGATCTCAGGCCAGGTGGCAGCAATTGCTTGCCTAGGGCAACTGGGTGTGGCCTCTGCAAGGGGAAGCATTCAGCAATTACTGAGGGTTGCCAGATCTATGGTGATGGCTCAGGGGTCAAGGTGTTCTGAGTGGAATAGACAGCCTATGAATCTCACATTCTGTGTAAGTGGAAAATTGTTTCTCCAGCTGATAAAGGCAACATAAATAAGGTTATGAAATTTTTTTTGGTAGCTAGGTCTCATGTAGCCCAGGCTAGCCTTTACCTCTCTGGTGTGGTGTGCCCCACCATACCTGGTCTATGTGATTTTGTTTTTCCAGGTAGCTCTTCCACCTCCTATCTGCTGAGGCTCTCTTTTACACCCCTGGTACTTTACAAAGTTTTATAATTTTTTAAGGTTTAATTTATTTTGTGTAGGAGTGCTTTGCCTGTGTATATCTGTACACAAGGTGTGTCTGCTGAGGCCGGAAGAGGGAATCAGATCCCCTAACACTGGAGTTATGGATGGCTGTAAGTCATTATGTAGGTGCTGGGAACCGAACCTGGTCCTCTCCAAGAGCAATGAACCCTTAGCTGTCCCTTCCCTCCAGCTCCTGACACTTACCTTAGAGAGACGTCTTGTTGGGAGCCATACAGCCTAGTCTCAGACCAGCATGTGCCTACCTGTCTAACGGGTTCCCTCAGGGCAAGGCACCTGTGGAAATGGACTGTCACTTGGCAAGAACCAGTAGCCCACGGGACAGCATAGGAATTTGCAAAATTTGTGCAGCTTGCTGATTCTTTTCTCTCTCGTTATTTTTCTAATTCTTCGGGTGGTTTTTAGTTTTACTTTGTCAGTCACACCTGCAGCAGCAGTAAGGGTCCCTGGAAATTCTGTGCTTTCTCCAACATTTTCCCCTAAGATTCAACAGGGGGCTAATGCTTCTCAAATCTCTTATCTGGATATGAGAAGTACAACTCCCAGTCCTGGAACTTTCCAGGCTCAATGGAGACAGTTAGGTACATATGAGAAAGCAACACTTGGAACATTAGCCATGTCTCACAGTATACATGCATACACAGAATAGGGGAAAGGCCTCAGGAATACACATGGGCCAGCTGTTGAGAGTAAGTTCCTTGGTGACCAAGCACAGGATCATTGGTAGGACCTGGTATGCTCCAAGACGAAGAAACCACAATGTAAAATATGGAATGGACAGATCCATTTTTATACGCAGCTTATATTGAGGGGAGAAAAATGGTATAGTGAGATGGGAAAAGAGGGCTTTGTCGAGGTCTGCCTTTTACGGAGAGATGGAGACATGGGACTCTCTTGTAGAAAAGGGAGCTGCATAAAAATATATCTTATAGACATGAAAGAACTGTCTGGGTTTGAATATTCCTTAAATTGTGATGTATTTCGTAAAGTCAAAAATAGAAGCCAATAATAAATGTAGCCCTGGTTAAAAAAAAAAAAAAAAAAAAAAAAAAAAAAACCTCTGTGTAAGTATAAACAAAGTCGGCCTGAGCTATCCGGGGCCACTTGAACGCAATCCACTTGGTGGTCACAAGTTTTCCTTGTGCAGATGCCCCTTCTGGCCTCAGAACCTGAACCGAGGCTAGACCCCGGCAACTTCTTCTCCAACAGGCGTTGGTATCTGTTCTCTCAGTGTGAGAATGCTTAGAAAACAAACAGAAGCCGGGCGATGGTGGCGCACGCCTTTAATCCCAGCACTCGGGAGGCAGAGGCAGGCGGATCTCTGTGAGTTCGAGACCAGCCTGGTCTACAGAGCTAGTTTCAGGACAGGCTCCAAAGCCACAGAGAAACCCTGTCTCGAAAAACCAAAAGAAAACAAACCGACAGCAAGTAAGTTCATAATAAATTTTATAAGGCAATGCAGTGACTTTCAAATTTTTGGAACAATTCTCATAAAAAAATAAAATGACAGAAACTACAGAAACATTGAAATGATCAGCTGAACTGTGAGTGCTCAGAAGGAAGGACTCTGAAGTGGCTCAGCCTACCCCTCCTGCAAGCACAGTCAGCTCGTGGCTTTCTCACGGATTCAACAGCCTCCTGACTTTGATGCACTTCATGTTATAAAAACAATGCAAACCATTCTAAATCATTTAAAACAGAGCAAAGAATAAAATGAGATTAGCGAGAGGTCACATCCTCAGCGCAGCTTTGCAATACACGGAACAAAAATGGCAGATTCAAAAACACACATGTATTCTGTATACTCATATATTTATAGATGGAGACTTACCATCATATAAACTAACAAGCTAGGCCAGGAAGGGCCAGGCATGCCTATAATTCCAACACTCATGAGGTCATAGCTAGAGGATCTTAAGTCTGAAGCCACCCTGGGCTGCATAGAGACACTGTCTCAAATAAAAAGAAAAATAGCCAGCTATATTCATTCATCGGGTGCATTAACTTCACTGTACTTCATATATTTTTTTTTTTTTTTGGTTTTTCGAGACAGGGTTTCTCTGTGGCTTTGGAACCTGTCCTGGAACTAGCTCTGTAGACCAGGCTGGTCTCGAACTCACAGAGATCCGCCTGCCTCTGCCTCCCGAGTGCTGGGATTAAAGGCGTGCGCCACCACCGCCCGGCTGTACTTCATATTTGTTTATACCTGGAATGAGGGTGAAGCAAGAAAAAACAGAACTAGCGCAGGGATAAAAAATTAAAAATATTAATTACTGTGAAATATTATCAAATGAAAACCAACCCCAGATTAACAAAACAAATTTCCAATTAGATAAATAAGATTTTTTTTTTTAAACTAAAAATTTACACTATCAGAAGATCCTGATCCTGATCCAAATCAACGTAGAACGCTGGAGCAGGAAGTAAACTTGATCCGTCAGTTCTTCTCAGAGGTCTACTGGTCTGCCCGCAGCCATACAAGTCCCTGGCCCTCAGCGGAGTGTGACCAGCTCTTCTGAAGAGGTAGGATGAATGGCGACCGTGTTGTCAAAGTCGGCCTTGGTGGCCCCCATTTTCACTGCCACGGCGAAGCCCTGAAGCATTTCATCACAGCCAATCCCCTGCATGTGGATCCCAACCACCTGCAAGAACACAGAAGTTACGAACGTCAGGTTTTTATTAGTTCTGTATTCGTGAGAGAAATCTGATAGCCCAGGGGCAGAAGAGTTGGCTGGAAACGCCTGAGCTGCTGCAACCTCTAGCACCAGCAGCACCAGCACCAGCACCAAAACCAGTCTAAAATTCTGCTATTTCCAATCCAAAGTCAGTGCAGGTATACCCAAGAGGCCCTGTACAGCCCTGCTTCAGTAGCTCCCTCCAGCGTACACCAGGCATCTCTTACTCCTGCTTCCCTCCTGTCCTATGTACTTCTCTTTGAAAGTGATGTCTCTGTTTGATGAACTTCCTTTTCCCTCCTTATTTTCCAGGGTCTTTTTTTTTTTTCCCCAGGGTCTTGTTGTATAGCCTAGGCTGGCCTCAAACTCCTGATCCTCCTGCCTCAGCCTCCTGAGTGCCGAGATCATGGTCTACAAAACAATGTCTGGCTTTCCTCTCTCCTTCCTAAGAACTAAGGGCATTCACTAACCAGACAGCTACAGAACCTGTCCCTTCCCAGTCACTAACCAGACAGCTACAGAACCTGTCCCTTCCCAGTCACTAACCAGACAGCTACAGACCCGTCCCTTCCCAGTCACTAACCACATAGCTACAGACCTGTCCCTTCCCAGTCACTAACCAGACAGCTACAGACCCGTCCCTTCCCAGTCACTAACCAGACAGCTACAGACCCGTCCCTTCCCAGTCACTAACCACATAGCTACAGACCTGTCCCTTCCCAGTCACTAACCAGACAGCTACAGACCCGTCCCTTCCCAGTCACTAACCACATAGCTACAGACCAGTCCCTTCCCAGTCACTAACCACATAGCTACAGACCTGTCCCTTCCCAGTCACTAACCACATAGCTACAGACCCGTCCCTTCCCAGTCACTAACCAGACAGCTACAGACCCGTCCCTTCCCAGTCACTAACCAGACAGCTACAGACCCGTCCCTTCCCAGTCACTAACCAGACAGCTACAGACCAGTCCCTTCCCAGTCACTAACCAGACAGCTACAGACCCGTCCCTTCCCAGTCACTAACCAGACAGCTACAGACCCGTCCCTTCCCAGTCACTAACCACATAGCTACAGACCCGTCCCTTCCCAGTCACTAACCAGACAGCTACAGACCCGTCCCTTCCCAGTCACTAACCACATAGCAACAGACCTGTCCCTTCCCAGTCACTAACCAGACAGCTACAGACCCGTCCCTTCCCAGTCACTAACCAGACAGCTACAGACCCGTCCCTTCCCAGTCACTAACCACATAGCTACAGACCCGTCCCTTCCCAGTCACTAACCACATAGCTACAGACCCGTCCCTTCCCAGTCCCTAACCAGACAGCTACAGACCCGTCCCTTCCCAGTCACTAACCACATAGCTACAGACCCGTCCCTTCCCAGTCACTAACCAGACAGCTACAGACCAGTCCCTTCCCAGTCACTAACCAGACAGCTACAGACCCGTCCCTTCCCAGTCACTAACCAGACAGCTACAGACCCGTCCCTTCCCAGTCACTAACCAGACAGCTACAGACCCGTCCCTTCCCAGTCACTAACCAGACAGCTACAGACCCGTCCCTTCCGGACCCAGTCAATTCTGTCCCTTGCTCTCTAAACACCAGTAGCTCTGTCATGTTCTATGACAGTTACAAGATTATCTACTGTTGGGAGGAACTACACAATTACAAATCAATCCCTGTTGCTGCTGCAGGAGCAGCAAGAACGCCTGGATTTCACTTATAAAGGAACATGGGAGCCCAGGCGCCGGAGTGAGACCCTGGTCAAACACGAAGAGAGCAGGAATACTGCTGACTTAACCGATGTGCCAATCGCAGGCCACTGAGGAAGGACTGTTCCGGGCAGGGAGCTGTGTTTTGCTACCACAACCCCCTCCTCTGCTGGTGTGAGGTGCTGCACTGAAAAACCAAGACTGTCTTGTGGCTTTTGCTGCTGACGCCCATCAAATCACACACACAGCTTATAATTATTAAAAACAGGTAACTTTTTAAAATAAATGTTTATGTTTAGTTCGCTGTGGGGGGGGGGGGGGCAGAGACAGAGCATGAGCAGGCCCAGTGGTGAGAGAGTGGCCGGGTCACTTGTGCTACTGGATGTTGATGGAGGGCAGAGGAGAAACCCCTGAACAGTCAGTTCTCTTTCGCCATCCTGTGGGGTCAGGGGGTCAACCTGAGGTTATTAGGCTTTTGAGCAAGCACCTCTACCTGCTGGGCCAGCTCCTAACATAACGTAACATCACAGCTAGGACCTGGCAGTATGTGGCTTTGGATTTACAACTTGGGAGGCTGTCGCACAAAGGTCAGGGAGTACGAACCAGGCTGTGTGGTAAGAACCAGGCTGTGTGGTAAGAGCCAGGCTCAAAAACCCAAGAGAAAGAAACACTACGTGTGAGCCGTATCCTTTACCAAGCTCCTCAAGATTTAATTCAGTTAGAACAAACAGCTTGAGAAGTGGAGGACCCAAAACTAAACCTATTTTCTAAATTTTAGAATAAGACCCACTCAAATACAGATCAAAGCCATACTGAGAAACCACACGACACTCGCTGGAGACAGTGAAAAGGACAGTGGTGAGGGTGTGGGAGAAGTGGGGCATTTACTGGGGGGACACACAGAGAAAATCCCGCACACCAGAACCCGTTTGGCAGATCCCCAGAAAGCTAAACCGAGAGACTTAACCTTCAAATAAATGGCTGATTAAATTTCTGCTTTATTGTTTTATTACGTTAAGTTTTAAATTGTCTTATATTAAAACACATTTACCACTCTATTCTTTAACAATTTATTTCATTTTTATTTCTGTTTATGTGTGTGGAATTCTGTTCACATGTGTGGGGTGCACTCAGAGGCCAGAAAAGGGTTCCAGATTCCCGCAGAGCCATAGTTACAGGTAGCTGAAGCCTCCTGACTGAAGTCGGTGCTAGGACTGCAGCCAGTTCTCTGCAAGAGCAGCCAGGGCTCCTCCCCATTGGGTCATTTTTCCAGGCCCCCTTCGCCAATATCTCTGAGTTTCCTGTCTGTTCTGGATTAGTGGCTAGTGACAAGTTTTTATTTTTCCTCCTGATTTTTATCTTTAAGACAGCCATTCTTTTTTGCAATACTCCTTTTTTTTTTTTTAAGATTTATTTATTATGTATACAGTATTGTCAGTATTCTGTTTGCATGTGTGCCTGCAGGCCAGAAGAGGGCACCAGACCTCCTTACAGATGGTTGTGAGCCACCATGTGGTTGCAGGGAATTGAACTCGGGACCTTTGGAAGAGCAGGCAGTGCTCTTAACCACTGAGCCATTTTTCCAGCCCCTGCAATACTCCTTTTAATTTTTTTATTTTTTTTTAATACTCCTTTTTAAAAAAGGACCAGAATCTTGTTTCTAATATAAAGAGCCCCAAAACACATGGAAGAGAGAACATTTTCCCCAGTACCTTTTCCTCTTTGTTAGCACAAACCATTTTCATCACACATTTTGTCTTCCTTGTGGTGACAGCATGATACATCGGGGTAAAGATGGTGGAGTAGATTTTCACATTCTCTTTCCCGTATTTATGAATAGCTTCATCTACAATGCACATTCAAAAAGCACCAATCAAAGACTAAACTCTTCCACAGAGATATGAGACGGTACTGTCCAGAAATACACCTGAACCAACAAACAAGAAGGAAGCAGCCAACTGTACCAAAATAAGGGGCAGTCTACAGACTAAGTGTCCACGTCACATCGTACACACAATGGCTGAGGAATGTGTCTCTGATGAAGAGACCAAACTCTCGCAATGCTGGACTCAACTCTGGACTGTGGGTGGAGGACCGTGTTCTAAATGATATCTGAGGTAGATGGCTAAATATGCATGACGTCTGAAGTTTAAATAATACTTTATTAATTGAAGTTTTCCCATCTCAAAACTATGTTTATGTAAGTGAAGACCCTTGTTCTTAAAAAATAAGATGCAGGGTGGACAGTGGTGGCACACACTTTTAATCCCAGCACTCTGGAGACAGAGGCAGGTGGATCTCTGTGAGTTCGAGGCCAGCTTGGTCTACAGAGCAAATTTCAGGACAAGCCCCAAAGCTACAGAGAAACCCTGTCTCAAAATCAAACAAACACAGATGTAGGATGTGTACACAGCAGTGACTCTCAACCTTCCCGACACTGCGACATTGCGACCCTCATGTTGTGGTGATCGGCAACCATAAAATTCTTTTCTTTTTTTTTCCCCTTTGGTTTTTCAAAACAGAGTTTCTCTGTAGATTTTTTTTTTAAGCCTGTACTGGAAGTAGCTCTTGTAGACCAGGCTGGCCTCGAAATCAGAGACCCTCCTGCCTCTGCCTCCTGAGTGCTGAGGTTAAAGGCATGCGCCATCACAGCCCGGCTCATAAAATTATTTTCATTGCCACTTCACGACTATAATTTTGCTACTGTTATGAATCATAATGTAAATATCTGCTATTTCCATTGGTCTTGGGTGACCTCTGTGAAAGGGTCATTTGCCCCTCAAATGGGTCTAAGAACCACTGCAAAAATAAGGCAAAAATAGCCAGGACAGAGGAGTCCTTTGTATTTTTTTGGCTATTTTTAACTTATATGAATATAAAAACCGAGGAGCGGGGAGAGAGAGAACGGACACAGAGACATACGGGCAGCAGGACTACTCCAAGTACTCATTGTTTGAGAACTATGACTAAAGACTCAACAAAAGGGTTGGTGTAACCTGCACACAGTTATTTTGGCCAACAAAAGTTTAGACGAGGAAGCACAAATGACCATCATTTCACGATTCCTACCTTCGGTGAGCCCCACCGTCCCGATAGGGGGGTGGCTGAAGACCACGGTGGGGATGTTGTCATAGTCCAGTTTGGAATCTTTCTTGCATTCAAAAAGCCTATGGGCCAGTTTCCGGCCAGCAGCTATCGCAACTGCAATGACAGAAACAATAAGCCTTGCTTTACTTGTTTTCATACGGCAACACTATCTGATCGGCTGTTTACCCATCTGCGCAGCTCCAGTGGAATGTTACTCCCATGCTCATGATCATCTCTACCTCAACATGGTGAAAACCCAGCACTGCCACTCTGACCAGTCCAAAACTACTGTGTTAGTCACCGCACATTCTCCTGGGAAGGAAAGCAACACGCCTACATTCCCAGCCACCTGGAAGCTAATCTGCTTAATGAGGTCACGGGCTTCCCGGTAGGGTATTTGTGGAATGAGACGCAGCTTGACACATTTTCATTTCTACTTCAGAAAGAGTCCTTTACACTAAAAGCTTCTTTCCACCAACCTGTTTTTATTCCTATGACTTCTCAAAGGGCCTGAGTTCAGAAAAAGCATCAGTTATAGGTTTATTCCCTAAGACAAGCTAAGCAGACCTACATCAAGACGAGACAAGGTTGTTTGTCCAAGTCTTGTAAAGGGATGTAGAATTTTAGTTAGGATGATGGCGTTCAAGAGATCACTGTGCAGCGTGGTAACAGTTGTCAATGTAAGCATATAATTGAGTATACGATGTATTGTTTACGTAAAAATTGTTGAGAGGAGCTGTGTTGTGGGGGCGCATGCCTTTAATCCTAGTACGTGCAAGGCAGAGGCAGGAGATCTCTGAGTTTGAGGCCAGCCTGGTCTACAGAACGAATTCCAGGACATTAGGGCTACACAGAGAAACTCTGTCTTGGGGGAAAAGGCATAGCCATGCACACCTCTAACCCCAGTACTCAGGAGGCAGAAGCAGGCAGATCTCTGTTAGTTGGAGGCTAGCTTTAGTAAGTTCCAGGACAGCCAGGGCTATTTAGAGACCCTATCTCAAAGAAGAAAAAAAAAAAATCACCGAGAGTAGATTTTCATTGTTTTTGAAAAAAAAAAAAAAAAAGCAGGTGAGGTAATAAATGTTAACTAGTTTGACTAAGCTTCTCTTCAAAATGGAAATATTTAAGAACATGACATTGTGTGCCACAAATGCATCACTTTGATTTAAAACTACGCAGAAAGACAGCTTCCTAAGAGAGCTAAAAGGATTGGGGGTGTAACAAAACAGGCTTGCGGGGCTGGAGAGATGGCTCAGTGGTTAAGAGCACCAGCTGCTCTTCCAGAGGTTCTGAGTTCAATTCCCAGCAACCACATGGTGGCTCACAACCATATGTAATGAGATCTGGCACCCTCTGGCGTGTGGACATACATGGAGGTAGAATGTTGTATGCATAATAAATAAATAATTTAAAAAAAAACAAACAAAAAAAAACAGGCTTGCTCCCTGAGGTAAAACTGGAGGGTCCGGTGAGGTCTCAGAGACAGCAGAAAATGACATAGCAAATGATGTGGCAAACACCTTGGATATGTTCCTCAGGTGAGTGGAACAGGAACGAGGACAAGGACATTAGAGCTGCTGGCACCAAGACCACTTCCTCCTATGAGAACGCCAACTGCCTAAACAGACGTCTTCAGAATGTGGCCTATACGAAAGGTCTTCTAGCTATGAATTCAGGATTTGCTAATCTGTGATGGTTCATCATCAACTTGGCTGGATTTAGAATCGGCTAAGAACACAGCCCTGGCTGTATCTGAGGGCTTTTCCAGAGCCGTTTAACTGGAGAGAGGACCTGCACTGAACATGGGGAGCACCACTCCCCGGGGCTGGCATCAAAAAGGGAAAAAGGACAAAGCAAGCCAAGCACTAACATCTGCTTCTCTCTGCTTTCTGAACGTGGACACGATGTGCCCACAGCCTCCTCCTGCTGCTGCCGCCATCCCCTGCCCGCTATGACGGACTAGGAATCCCTCACACCAAGAGCCAAGGGAAACCCTTCCACCCTCAAGTTACTTTTATCAGGTATTTTGTGTCAGCAACGAGAAAAGCAACAAATACAGTCTTCTGAGGAATAGTGAATTTTGTTCAGAAAATGTGAGATACCTAGCCTGCATCTACTTTAATGCCAATTTAACAAAGACATGAATGCTTTTAATTTTTCTGAAGTAAATTTGACTACAAAAAGCTGGGCAGCAATCCCAGCACTTGGGAGGCAGAAGCAGGCGGATCTCTGTGAGTTCGAGGCCAGCCTGATCTACAAGAGCTAGTTCCACGACAGGAACCAAAGCTACAGAGAAACCCTGTCTCGAAAAAAAAAAAAAAAAAAAAAAAGCTGGGCAGCTTTAGATGACACAGGCCTTTTTTTTTTTTTTTTTTTTTTTTTTTTTTGGTTTTTTTTGAGACAGGGTTTCTCTGTGGCTTTGGAGCCTGTCCTGGAACTAGCTCTGTAGACCAGGCTGGTCTCGAACTCACAGAGATCCACCTGCCTCTGCCTCCCAAGTGCTGGGATTAAAGGCGTGCGCCACCATCGCCCGGCCACAGGGGCCTTTTTTCCCCGAGAAAGAAAGCAGCATTACCTGGGGTGAGAAGAGCTCTCCCACAGACATCTCCCACAGCATAGATGCCTTTGACACTGGTATTCTGGAATTCATCTACGATGATATGGCCTTTGTCGTCGGTCTGAACCCCCTAGAACCACAAAGGAAAACCTGGTAAGCACTGGGTCCATCTGTCATGGAACGTCAACCCGAGATCAGCGGCACTTCATGCACCTGCAGCTCCAAAAACCCACAAGACTTAACAGCAATGTGTAAACCACTTCAAGTCAACAAGTTCCAGAGCTTCCTTAGTATATATTGAATTGTTATATATTATATAATATATTGAACTGTTTTATTTATTTTATTTTATTGAGGTGCTTTAATGGAACCAGACTGACCCATGACCCAGTAAACATGGAAAAGAATGACAACAGACACACCACCCTACTCGATACCCCGCGGGGCTCCTCTGAAACAGTGCCGGTCAACTGTTTCATGAAGTACTTGAAAAGCACTGAACTTTGTCAACTTTACAAATGCTAGGGGCCCTTGGGAGGGTGAAAAGCACTGAACTTTGTCAACTTTACAAATGCTAGGGGCCCTTGGGAAGAGAGACCCTCAATTGAGGAAATGTTCCTACCAGACTGGCCTGTGAACAAGCCTGTAAGAGGGCATTTTCTTGATTAATGATTGACGTGGGTGGGGGCAGCCCACTGGGGTGGTGTCATCCTAGGCAGGTGGTCCTGGGTTTTCTAAGAAAGCAGGCTGAACAAGGCACGGGGAACAAGATAGTAAGCACACAGCACTGCTCCATGGCTTCTACACCGGTTTCTGCCTTGAGTTCTCTGGATAATGGACTACAGACTATAAGCTTAAAAAAACACCAATTCCTCCCCAAGTTGCTTTTGGTCATGGTGTTTTATCACAGCAATAGAAACCCAACTAGAACAGTCACCTAGAGGGTCACAGTCTGAAACAGTCACCAAAGGCACTTTTTTCAAGTTACCATCTTTTTTTTTTTTTTTTAATTTAAATCTCAGCCAAGTTTGCATTCTACTCCAAAATGTGCTATTCTGCACACCAAACACACTCCCTTTATGCTGAGTCGCCTTTCCTCTAAGATGTGCTCTGCTTATTCTGCGGCTTTGCCGGATCTGAGTGACACAAGGCTCCAGTGGGAGATAGAGAGGTAAGTGCAGTGGCTTCTGCAGAGAAGCACAGTGCTGACGAGCGGCCACTGAGTTTGAAAATAGCCTGGTCTACTTAGCCAGTTCTGGGCCAGTCCTGGCTACACAGTGAGACCTAGTCTCAAAAATAAGTAAATTTTTTTATATGTTCACACACACACACAAATACAATATTTGGAGCTGGGATGTGGCTCCATGCTAAACATACATATGTTTAGCATGTATCAGGCTCTGGCTCCCAGCATCAGAGAGAGAGAGAGAGAGAGAGAGAGAGAGAGAGAGAGAGAGAGAGGCTTGAATCCCAGCTCTGTCACTCACTAGTTATGAAATTTCACATAAGCACCTATTTAGCTACAGACACTTGGGCTTCTATTGCAAACGAGTTTAGCTTGATCTCTAAAACACAGTGGTGAGCTGGACTGACTTCCTACTCCATCGAGCTACCGGCCTGGTGAAGTATCTATTAATCCTGTGTCTTGGTTTCCTTGCCCTTCAGTTACCGGCAGGATTTACTGGATGAGTAATCACTGACATGACTTGGCACACAGCAGCCATCCAGTTTGTGTTACGACAGACCGAGCTCAGCTTTTCATAAGGTGAGAAGGAACCTTCGTTTCTGGCCTCATTGCTTAAAAAAATCAGGAAATAATGAGCTGGGGAAATAGGTTGGTAGAGTACCAGTAAATTAATGAGCTAAGGAAGTAGGTGAGCTGGTGGAGTACTAGTGAATTAATGAGCTGGGGAAGTAGGTGAGCTGGTGGAGTACCAGTGAATTAATGAGCTGGGGAAGTAGGTGAGCTGGTGGAGTACCAGTGAATTAATGAGCTGGGGAAGTAGGTGAGCTGGTGGAGTACTTGTCTAGCATGCTTGAAGCTTTGGGTTTGATCCCCAGTGTCAGTGCAATCCCAGTACTTGGAAGTAGAGTCAGGAGGATAAGGAATTCAAAGTTGGAGTTAGGAAGATGGCTATGTGAGTGAGGAGCTTGCTGGGCAAGCGAGATGACCTGAGTTCAATCCCCAATGCCAACGGAAAAGCCAGGTATAGCAGTATCACAGAGATGGGGAGGCGGAGACAAAACTATCCCTGGGGCTGCTAACCAGCCAGTCTAGCCCAACTGGCATGTTATAGGCTCACGGATAGACTCTCAAAAAATGTGCTATAGAGCAATTGGGGAAAATACTAATGTCCGTCTCTGGCCATTACATGAAAGCGAGCACACATGCACACGCATGCGCCCACACCAACATAAACACACAGAGTCAGCAAATAAGGATGGGAACTGAGAGGAAAGAAGAGGAGGGGTGAGGTCGGTGGAAGGACATGAATTAGAACCCAGTACAACCACACATCCATATGAAGATGCAACAACAAAATCCATTACTTAGTTTACCAAAAACAATTTTTCAAATTCAGCAAATAAAAGAGAGTAAGAGGGGGAGAGACATTCACCACACAGGACGGACAGGATGGCCCAGTGGGTTAAAGTGCTTGCTGACAAGCCTGAGGACCCGAGTTCGATCCCCAGGACCCACGTGGTGGAAGGAAAGAACCGAGCTCTGTAAGTAGTTCTCTGACCTTCACACGGGTGCTATAGCACAGACATACCCTCTCACAAATAAATAAACGCAATAAAAATAATTCAGCAAATCTAGTTAAACACAGGACCTCAAAACATTCCATCTGCACAAACACAAGTTACCTATTAAAGATGAAAGGCTCAGGAACTAGTTTTATTATTATGAATAGTGAGTTTTCATTAAATTTCATTGAAGACTGAAAATAAGACAAGCCCCTCCCTAGATATTTAATTCTTTGAAGTGTTGAAGGCTCCAGGTATAGTGGCTCCTGACTAGAATCCCAGTAGTTGGGAAGTGGAGGCAGGAGGATCAGAAGTTCAAGGTCATTTTCAGTTCCCTATTGAAATGAGGCTAGCCTGTACTATAAAAGATCCCGTCTCAAAAGCCAAATAAACAAATTAATACGGGGACCTGTGGTGCAGATCTGTAACCCCAGCTATTTGGAAGGAAAACTGCAAGGCTAGCCTGGACTACAGACTGAGTTCAAGGCTAGCCTAGGTAACTTAGTGAGACCACATCTTTAAAAAAAGAAAAAGAAGGAAAAGGAGGGCTAGGATTACAGTCAATGGTAGAGTACTTGGTTAGCATGTGTGGGAGACCCTAAATTAGCACATGTGGGAGACCCTAAATTAGCATGTATGGGAGACCCTAGATTACCACGTGTGGGAGACCCTAAATTAGCACATGTAGGAGACCCTAAATTACCACCTGTGGGAGACCTTAAATTATCACATGTAGGAGACCTTAAATTAGCATATGTGGGAGACCCTAACTTAGCACGTATGGGAGACCCTAAATTATCACATGTGGGAGACCCAAAATTAGCATGTGTGGGAGACCCTAAATTAGCATGTATAGGAGACCATAATTCAATTCTTAGTACTGCCAAGAAGAAAGGAAAAGAAGGGAGGAGGAAGAAAGGAAGGAGAGAAAGATGAAGGAACAGGAAATGGGAGGGAAGGTGGGATGCATACCCAAAATCCTAGCATTTAGAAGTCTGCAAAAAGGAAGTGAGTCAGGAAATGGCTGGACGATCTGGATCAGACCCTTCCAATACATGATACCTGACCTGGGGTGAGGACACTAGAGAGGAGAGATATTCCAGAGCAAAAAGGCTGCATGACAAAGCCCATGGATGGGTGTGCAAAAGGTCACGGGGCTATCGGGAGACTGAAGACTACACAGGAAAGCCTGTGGATGGGTGTGCAAAAGGTCATGGGGCTATTGGGAGACAAGACTACACAGGGTAGACCGAGTCAGCTTACCACTTTATTTAGATTCAGGCCCCGAGAATTTGGGTCCCGTCCAATGGCCCAGAGCAGGCAGTCAACATCTGGAATCACAGTTGTAGTGGGTTTCCTACCAGGAACCGCAGTAACGACCTGAAGTTCCAAGCCGGATGTTGTTTTCTTTACTTCCTTAACCTATTAAAAAAAAAAAGCGTTAAGTATGTATGGGAGGAACAGGGTGAGAGTAGCACGAAAGCAAAGATTTTTCTCCCGGCACCAGGACTGAACCTAGGGCTCCACTCACGCCAGGCAAGCATGCAACCACCAAGCTACATCCTACCCTCTTGTTACTTATTTTGGAATGGGATCTCACTAAATCACCCGGTATGGCCTTAAGCTTACTCTGTTGCTCAGACAGGCCTTGAACTTATGATCCTCCTGCTTCAGCTTCCTAAGTGGCTGAGAGTTCAGACCTAAGCCACTAGGCTTAGTAAAACAGAATTTTTTGTGTGTTTTATTTTTTTTTTTTTTTGAGACAGGATCTCAATCTATAGCCCAGACTGACCTCAAATTCAAATCAATATTTTCGTATCAGATTTCTAAGTGCTGGGATTACAAGTTTGGGCAATTATATCCAATGACTAGGAACACTGGGCATACGAGGTAGTTTGTATGAAAACAGCTCCCACAGGCGCATGCTCGGTCTGGACCTGAACCTGCAGAAAAAGGGTCCTAAAGGGCAAGGTGCTGAGGTGGAGGATGGGATGAGAACAAGAGACAGAGTTCCGGGACAGCCAAGGCTAGCTCAGCAGTAACCAGGAGGTCTGTATGAGCTGGTGATTCATGACAGCAAACTTAAGAATCACCATATCTTCTGGGTGGTGGTGGCACACACCTTTAATCCCAGCATTTAGGGAGGCCGAGACAGGAGGATCTGTGAGTTTGAGGCCAGCCTGGTCTACAGAGAGAGTCTCAGGACAGGCTCCAAAAGCTACAGAGAAACCCTGTCTCCAAAAAAAAAAAAAAAAAGTTTCAGTTCTAGCCAGTTGGTAACACACACACAACTTTAATCCCAATACTTAGAAGGCAGAGGCAGGTGGATCTCTGTGAGTTGGAAGCCAGCCAGGTCTACAGAGCTAGTTCCAGGAAAACCAGGGCTACACAGAGAAACCCTGCCTCGAAAAACTAAAAGTTTCAGCTCTAAGATCAACTACCAGCTTGTTCTTTTTCTACATCTTGACTTCATTAATATGAAATACTCCTTTATAAGAAAGAAATCAGGGGGCTGCAGAGATGGCTCAGAGGTTAAGAGCATTGCCTGCTCTACCAAAGGTCCTGAGTTCAATTCCCAGTAACCACATGGTGGCTCACAACCATCTGTAATGGGGTCTGGTGCCCTCTTCTGGCCAGCAGGCATACACACAGACAGAATATTGTATACATAATAAATAAATAAATATTTTTTTTTAAAAAAAAGAAAGAAAACATTTTGGCAGAAGCCAGGTGTGGCAGTGCACATCTATAATGCTAATACTCGGGAGGCCGAGGCAGGAGGTTCACGAGTTCAAGACTAACCTGGAGCATGCCTTTAATCCCAGCACTCGGGAGGCAGAGGCAAGCATATTTCTGTGAGTTTGAGACCAGCCTGGTCTACAAGAGCTAGTTCTAGGACAGGCTCCAAAGCTACAGAGAAACCCTTTCTCGAAAAACCAAACCAAACCAAACCAAACAAAAAAAAAAATCACCAAAAGAACAACCAACAACCATTCACTACAAAACACAAACGGGGTTAGATGGGGGAGCACACGCTGATAGAGAGATGGCTCAGAGGCTACAAGTACTGGCTGCTCACAGACACCCATAACTCCATCCCTATACATTAAAGGAAAGAGAGATGAAGGAAGTAATTGGCCCGCGGAATCAGGCAGAAGCAGGCTAAGCTGCAGCAGAGGAAGTAAGTGTGCATTTGCAGCGCTGAGAGCTGGCTCAGTGGTGGAGCCCTTTCACACACAGGATCCTGGGGTCTTAGCTCTGGCCACGTACCTGTGAGAACTTCAACACCTCCACACCTGCGTTCTCTAGCTCCTCGGTGCAGTTGGAACTGATGAGCGAGTCAAAGTTCCTAAGGACCTGCATTTCAACATGGCGGCAGAGAGCCGGGTGTGGGGAAAGAAACGAAACTTGATTAAAGGGCCTGGAGAGATGGCTCAGAGGTTAAGAGCATTGCCTGCTCTACCAAAGGTCCTGAGTTCAATTCCCAGCAACCACATGGTGGCTCACAACCATCTGTAATGGGGTCTGGTGCCCTCTTCTGGCCTGCAGGCATAGATACAGATAGAATATTGTATACATAATAAATAAAAAAATAAATATAAAAAAAAAGAAACTTGATTAAAGTCATAGCACGGACTTAGGAAAGCAGCTCCAACCCTCTATGACCCGCCTCTGACCACCTCCTTCACGCATGCTTGCGCTGGGGCGGAGTTTATTAGACCCTCTCTTCGCCTACGTCAGCACCAGTGTCTCTACTAGCTCTGGTTTCATCTACATCTAGAGCTCTGAAAAATGAGCAATCAGACTTCTACCATCTTCACACTCCTCTCCTATTCTTCTTTTCTTTTTTCTTTTTTGCAGAACCTAGGGGAATTCTCATGCAGCGGGGCTGGCTTTCCCTCTAGTCTACAAGAAGGCTTCCTCAATTATCCTATGAGAAACAGCTGTGAGAGCCAGCATTTTAAACTAGTAGTGAAAGAGAGTGGGGGCCAGGGGCGGGGGTGACATAAAAATTTGGCAACAGTAAGAAGTTTCTGAACACACAATGACAGAAACTTCATTCAGAACCAAATGTATACTGAGTCTAAAGAGCTCCTGGCAGGGCCCACCACGCTGCACACTGCGACTTCCCGGACGCCGTGCGGCACATGCCACTATGCCAGTGACCATCAAAGGTCAGATTGAAGACGAGCTTTGTGTTATGACCTGCGGTGTTTTTACTGCACATACAAAGCCTATGGTCCTTATAGAACCCATGACATATCTCTATCATCACTCCCTAGCATGGAAGGGTCAAATTAGTGTACCTTTGGATTGTACTGTATCAGAACGTCTGATTTTGAAGAATGTTTGCCTAGAGGAGCGAGCCAGACCATCCCATTTGCAGTGCTTTTTTTTTTTAAGATTTATTTATTTATTATGTATACAATATTCTGTCTGTCTGTATGTCTGCAGGCCAGAAGAGGGCACCAGATCTCATTACAGATGGTTGTGAGCCACCATGTGGTTGCTGGGACTTGAACTCAGGACCTTTGGAAGAGCAGGCGATGCTCTTAACCTCTGAGCCATCTCTCCAGCCCCCATCCCATTTGTAGTGCTTTGAATGAGCGTGTCACCTAGGCTCAGATGTTTGAACGCTTGGTCTCCAACTGGAGGCGAAGTTTGCAGGGGAAGCTTAGAAGGTGAAGCCTTGCTGGAGGGCCAGCTCTGAGCATGTAACGCCTCAGGACACTTCCAGTTCACACGCTATCTGCTTTGTCTGTAGCTGAACGCTCGGTTTCCTGCATAAGCCACCATGACTGCCATCTGCTGTCACAGGCAGCATGGCGTAAGCCCATCCACATGCACACGTACATATCATATGTACATAATAATAAATTCAATTAAAATTTAAGAATTAGGTGAGACCTAGTTTTTATTTTATTTTTTTTTAAAGATTTATTCATTATGCACACAATGTTCTGCCTGCATGCATCCCTGCAGGCCGGAAGGTGGCACCAGATCTCATTACAGGTGGTTGTGAGCCACCATATGGTTGCTGGGAATTCAACTCAGGACCTCTGGAAGAGCAGCCAGTGCTCTTAACCGCTGAGCCATCTCTCCAGCCCGATACCTAGTTTTTAAAACATAGGGCTGGAGAGATGGCTCAGTGGTTAAGACCATTGCCTGTTCTTCCAAAGGTCCTGAGTTCAATTCCCAGCAACCACATGGTGGCTCACAACCATCTGTAATGAGGTCTGGTGCCCTCTTCTGGCCTGCAGACATACACACAGAATATTGTATACATAATAAATAAATAAATGAATTTTAAAAAATAAATAAATAAAACATAGGAAAAGTTCTCCTCTAATTAGAAACAAAAAAGGGAGAAGAGGAGACGGGACTTACCTTATCATGCCTTATCATAAGCGACGTCCTGGAGCCCAGGGCAGAGAAGATGCCAGCTATCTCCACGGCAATGTAGCCCGCACCCACAATGACACTGCGCCTGAGATGAGAGCGAAGGGGGCCGGTCTTGGAAACTGGCTTTGGAATGGCTTCAGAGGTACAGGCTAGCATGGTACCTCAGCCTCTCTGCTCAGTTCTCCCAACAGCTAACATTTTAAGAATAACATGGTGACATGCACCTGCAATCCTACGCATCTGGCGGCAGCAGCAGCCTGGTGTGAGTTCCAGGGCACCCAGAGCTACATAGCGAGTCATCATTCTCAAAGAGAACAAAACAAAATTCTCCTCCACAAAGGAAAGATATTTTGCTGGTTGGTGGTGGTGCATACCATTAATCCAAGCACCCAGGAGGCAGAAGCAGGTGGATCTCTCTGAGTTCAAGGCTGGCCTGGTCTACAAAGTGAGTTCTAGTACCACCCTCTTTCCCCCGAAAAGAAAGCTTTTTGTGTGTGTGTGTGTGTGTGTGTGTGTGTGTGTGTGTGTGTGTGTGTATTTTTCGAGACAGGGTTTCTCCGTAGCTTCTTTGGTTCCTGTCCTGGAACTAGCTCTTGTAGACCAGGCTGGCCTCGAACTCACAGAGATCCGACTGCCTCTGCCTCCTGAGTGCTGGGATTAAAGGCGTGCGCCACCACCGCCTGGCTAAGAAAGCTATTTTTATTTGACATATAAGTTCCTTATGTTCTATTTTCATTCATTTACTTATTCATTCATTGAAGATAGTCTCTGTGTATCAGTTGACCAATACATAGTAGCTGAGACTGGTCCTAAGCCCCTTCCAATTTCCATACATAAATCTAACAGCAGCATTATTTTCGGGGCTGGGTATTTCTCCTCAATCTTTATTCAGCTCTATTAATCCTTGTAGCATGATCATAGGCCAATTTAAGAAAGCCATTTGAAGTCAGGCATGGTGGCTCATGCCGGTAATCCCAGCATCTGGGTGGCCCAGGCTGCAGTTGAACTCAGCTTCCTGAATACATTTTGGTTTAACAAAAGAATTTAAGCTCCAGTGAAATGCTTGAATGCCTGGATCAGCGCCGGAGAAACCCAGCTGCTTCAGGCTGACTTCCAGGCTGAGGCGTAGAGCCTAACAGCCCCAGAGAGTGATTTCTGCTACAGGTTTTCCAAGGCTCCAACACGCCCCTCTCATGGCTGCAAAGAACAAAGGAACTGTCTTCCAGGACTTTCTGTAGACGTAGCTTACAGAGGCTTCCTGGCTTGGCTGGAGGCTAAAGAACTCAATCGGTTGCAAATGACTGGTGAGGACCCTGTTACCCTAAAATCCTGAGCATGACTGGAAGCTTCCATACTCCTGAAATCCCATGAAACGGCTCCACTTGCATCTCCATCTCTCATTCCCACGCGAACCCCTTCCTTTCCATAAGTCTCCCCCACCCACACCCCACTTTTGCTTTTCTCCTTTCCTCTGCCCCTTCTCTTTCTTTTCTGGACACTGAAGTCCTACATTGTTCTAGGTCTTACACTAGACGAGATGGGTAACAGTTTCTGCCCTGTTTCAAAGGGTCTTTTTGTTGATGCTGACAGGGGTGAACCCAGAGCCCTTTCCATACAACGCATGCCTCTGCCACCTAGCTGTATCTCCAGCCTTAAAAAAAGTCTAAAGACTGGTCTGGCCAAGTGGCCAAGGCTGGCTTAAAATCTGTTCAACAGCCCAAGGGCCTTGAATGAATCTGCAATTCTACAGCTCAACCTCTAGAGGAGGTGGGATTATAAATCCAAACCGAAAGGTCTGGCCCATGAAGAATTCCTAAAGAAAGAAACGCACCCTGTAGCTGGTCAAAGAGGACCGAGTAGATGAAGGTAGAAAGTGATGGATTCCTGAGAGGTGGGTGTCTTTTATGGGGAGGGGGAGCATTCAGGGGGAAAAGGACAGGTCGCCATTATGAGGACCCGACTTTGCAAACTCCATTTTTAAAAAGGGGGTTCTCATCAAAATGTGTTGGAGAAAAAAAGGGGGCTTTATCTTAGGCCATATAATGAGTGGGGAACCAATCTTGGCTCCAGAAATGTGCTGTGATAGCAGAATTTGAACGTATACCCTGAATAGCCAAGTAAGGAGCTAAGGAGCGGGGTAGGAGGGATCCTGTCCTTGAAGACACCTTGTCAGTTATTAATGGCTCTTTGTTAGGGTTTTCACACCCGAAAACTGACCAATGGTTTCAGAAACTACCTCATTCTATGTACTCCTACCCAATCCCAAAAAAACAGGACATGAAACCCCCTGATTAAGGCGTTTCTCCTGTAAAAGATGCACTTTCCTCACACTGCCTTGGTGTGCTGGAGGTGTGGTCCAAACTCGAGTCTGAATATTAAAAACCCTCTTGTGCTTTACATCAGAATCTGGTTCTGTGGAGTGTCTTTTGTGGGGGGGGGGCAGTTAACTTGGGCACAACAGCCGTCACACGGTTTTGCTTCTGAGAACTGCAAGAAGCCAATGTGTCCCTTGGCTCCCACTGGCGGGCAACTTCATCCCCACCTCCTGCCACCGCAATATAAATCAAACACGACTTTCCACACTTTCACATCCTTTCTACCTCCTGATGTCTTGAGAACCAACACATCCTTCCAGAGTGGGTCAAGGTGCCCCCCACCCAGCCATAAGTCCTTTGAGGGCAAAACCAGAATCACGTGGTGCACTAGGACCTCACCTATGGATTTCCAAGACTATAATTTGATTTAAAGAGGAAAAGAAATAAAAAAAGAAATCACCTAAGAAAAAGATAGCTTTGGGGGAAGGGCAATCAATGAAGCCCAAGCTGGCCTTGAACTTACTACATAGCAAAGCTATCCTCCTGCCTCAGTCTTCCAAGTGCTGCAGGAATACAGTGCCACAACCGGATGTTCTTTTTGTTTTGTTTTGTTTTTTGAGACAGGGTTTCTCTGTAGCTTTGGAGTCTGTCCTGGAACTAGCTCTTATAGACCAGGCTGGCCTTGAACTCACAGAGATCCACCTGCCTCTGCCTCCCAAGTGCTAAGATTAAAGGTGTGAGCCACCACGGGCTGACTGGACGTTCTTTTTTGAGATAGGTTTCTCTAGGTTATTTAGCCTAGCCTGGAACACCTAGCTTCCAGCCATTCTCCACTCTAGCCTCCCAAGAAACTATGATTCAAGCAAAGGCACCATGCCCAGCTCAACTGGAAGCTCATTTCCTTTTGTTCCCAGAGTCTTTTCTTTATAGCATGAATGACTTCATTCATTAAGGTTGTATTCATACCAATAAAAGTTTATTAAGTAGCTCTAAAATATATAATGGGAAAATATCTATAATAGAGCTTGCTCGGGGGTGGGACTGAAATGACTGACATTATCATCCAAACATTCCTGAGTCATGGCTATTTCTGGAGGCATGCTCACTGCCATCCTATCTGCTGCGAAGCCTAAAAACACGTCAGGGTGGATCGTGCTAAGGCAGGTGAGTCAACTGAGACCGTTCAAGACTGGGCAACAGAGAAAGACAAGGGAGGAAGGGAGTCCAGGCAGAAAAGGAAGAACACTGGATCCCAGGAGAGGGAGGCAGGAATCCGGACGTCACATCTGCTTACCTAGGCAGGTCCTCCAGCTGAAAAAATCCATCACTGGTCATTCCCAAGTTGGCACCTATGGAGAAAAACACCACATGGTGGTAAAAGGGACACACTACTTAACCTTACGGCACCTATGTTGAAAAAGACCACAGAGTGGTAATATAAACATACGTTTAGCCTTACAGTTTTAGCAAGGGCTAAGAAAGGGTTACACATTGTCACATTGTCATCTAGGCTGACCTGGGATTTAACTATGCAGCCCAGGCTGGTCTCAAACTCATGGCAATCCTCCTGCCTCAGCCTCATGAGTATTGGGAATTTGGGGTATAAGCCGCCATGCCTGGACAAAACACAAGCTATCCAAGAACCAAACACTCTCTCAGCCAAAGCACTCTGTCTCGACAGCTTGTTAGACGGCCACTGAGAGAACGTCTTCCTGTATTCTAGATTTTACATTTATCCCAAGAAACTGAACAGCGATGCAGATAAGTAAATGCAGATTTCCCTGAAGGACCAAGATCTTGTCAGCTGTTGTAGCTCTAAGAGGAGTTTATTAATAAAGAGAAGGGAAAAGGTGGGGTGCACTGGCCCGTCTGGAAGCAACGTGTCGAGAAGTGGAGTGGCTGCATCCACTTTTAAAGGCCGTTTACGGCATGTGCATAGCCACGTCATGCGCAGATCAGATTACCCGACAGTGTTGCACATAGATCATGGATTACGTAGGGCGCAAGGCCCTAGGGTGACTAGACAGTTTGCCAGAATGCTGATGGCGCATGCGTGGCCGTGGGACCCAGAAATGCTAATGCCTGGGGTGACTAAGCGTCCTGCCTGAATGCTGATGACCCTGGTACTTGCTTGGATGTGATGGGAATAACAACACTGGCTACCTTGGAACTTAAACTATGTAGTTCAACTCACAGAGATCAGCCTGCCCCTGACGCTTAGGCGCTGGGATTAAAGGCTTGTGCTACCACACCTGGCTTCCACCTTGTCTTTCTTCTCCATGACTACACATACAGTGGCAGTGCTGATTTCCTCCTCAGCTAGTCCAGTTCCATTTACATCTGTCTTGCTTTATAATTTCCTTTCTGCAAGTTCCCCTCCTCTGAGACATGTGAGGCCAGAGTTCTGAATTTCAAATTTCAGAATTGGGAATATGTCTATAGGGTATTTTCTTGATCAATATGGACAGGTGGTGCTAGGGTTGTTTAAGAAAGCAGGCTGAACAAGCCGTGGGAAACAAACCAGGTCAGTTTCTGCCTCCAGGTTCCTGCTTTGAAGTTCCTGTCCTGACTTCCCTTCATGAGGGACTGTAACCCGTGTGATGAAATGATCCCGTCTTTACCTCCCCAAGTTGCTTTTGGTCTTTAAATCAGAGATGTACAGCACCCGACCTTTTGTGGGCTGTCTTTAGCCTGCTCCCCTGAATCCAGGAAGGGGGCTCAGCAGATGCCTACACAACGGGGCTGAGAATCTCCCACCGTATTGCTGGTGAGAGCACCAATTTAGAACTGTCTTCCACTTCCTGCAGACTAGGAGTCAGCCTCGAAAGTCTCTCCTCATCCAGTCACTGCCAACTTAGCTTCTGGACACCACAGAGATCTCCTCATCGTGTACAAGCCAACAATGACCAGCTAAGTTGCCAAAGCAACAAAATGATGGGTCTCCCTGAGTCTATATAACCTAATTCTAGTCTCAAGAAGCGTGGTGCTGTCAAACTGACTAGCCTGGCTGAGAATCCTTCAGAGACATCTTTAGCACCCACTGACCCCCCCCCCCCACACACACACTCTTCTCTCTCTTATCACATAGTTCTGACTGAGAGCCGTCTTAGGAGTCATCCCGGATCATGCCGGTCCACAGAGATCCTCACTTCTGTTGAACACAGTCCAAGAATGGAGTCCTGTGAGGATATCGGGTGCCTGTGAGAAAACTCCAAAAAACAACACAGGAGTCTTTTGACCTCTGTTTCTTCAAAACATTTGTTCTTGGAATGTGGTTTCATACTCCTCCCAGGGGCCGTGGACAGGAGTGAGTTGACTTCTGCTGTTGTTACTCATGTGCCTCTATGGAAAATCATGTTTTTGTCATGTGTGGCAGTCCTTGTGATTACACTTTCCTCAGGGGACTCTCCTTAACCCTCAGAGTATAAACTGTCTGATGCCCTGAATAAAACTGGCTCCTGACTAAGACTTTGGTCCCCTTATTTTTAGGCCCCACTCTTCCAGGTTCAAGCTACCAATTAAAATGAAAAAACAGGGCAGGAGAGATGGCTCAGTGGTTAAGAGCATTGCCTGCTCTTCCAAAGGTCCTGAGTTCAATTCCCAGAAACCACATGGTGGCTCACAACCATCTGTAATGAGGTCTGGTGCCCTCTTCTAGCCTGCAAGCAGAACACTGTATACATAACAAGTCAATAAATCTTAAAGAGAAAAAAGAATGTTTGTATACATAATAAATAAATAAATATTTTAAAAAAACAGATAGTAAAACGAAAAACAGAGAATCTCTGCCTTTACTATCTGGCATCAGAGAATTTAGAGGCTACACTTGTTTTTATTACCTTAATTAATGAAGTAATGTTTTACATCACTTAAAGGTCACTAAAGGTGAGGCTGGGCCAGGCTGTGGTGGTGCACACCTATAATCCCAGCACTAGGGAGGCAAAGGCTGGCAGATCTCTGTGAGTCTGAGGCCAGTTTGGTCTACAGAGTGAGTTCCAGGACAGAGCTATACACAGAGAAACCCTGTCTCAAAAAAAAAAAAAAAAAAAACCAAACAAACGAAAACAACAACAACAACAAAACCCACAAAAGCTGAACACTTTTAATCTCAGGACTAAGGAGGCAGAAGCAGGTGGATCTCTGTGAGTTCAAGGCCAGTCTGGTGTACAAGAGCTAGTTCCAGGACAGGCTCCAAAGATGCAGAGAAACCCTGTCTCAAGAAACACACACACACACACACAAAATGGTAGCCTAGGCATGTACACAGGTAATATGCATATGATTAGCATGTATGAGATTCTGAGCTCAATCTCCAATATAAAAAAATAAATTGCCAGGCGGTGGTGGCACACACCTTTAATCCCAGCAGAGGCAGGTGGATCTCTGTGAGTTCAAGGCCTGCTTGGTCTACAGAGCAAGTTTCAGGACAGCCAGGGCTACACAGAAAATCCCTGTCTCAAACAAACAAATAAAACCATGAGAAGGTATACTGGGAGTGAGGTCAGGGCTCTTCTCCACTCGATGCCTCTACTCCTCTCTCTAGACAAAATAAATCATTAGGCTTCTGTTATTGTTTTGCTTTTTAAAAATCATTTTATTTTATGGGATGGGTGTTTCCATGCATGCATGTTTGTGTATCATGTGTATACGGTGCCTGCAGAGGCTAGAAGGGGAACTGGATCCACTGGAGTTAGAGCTGGTTGTTGTTAAGCTCCATGTGGGTGCTGGGAATTGAACCCAGTTCCTCTGGAGGAGTAACCAGTGTTCCTAACCACTGAGCCATCTCTAGAGCCCCGCCATTAGTGTTTTTCTTTTAAGATTTACTATATACATCTATGAGTATTTCACCTACATGTGTGTATGTGCACCATGTTCGGGCCATGCCTGTGGAGGTCAGAAGAGGACGCTGGGGCCCTTGGAACTGGAGTTATTGAAGGTTGGGAGCTACCATGTGGGTGCTGGAACCCAAACTCAGGTACTCTGGAAGAGCACCAACCGCTCTAAATGGCTGAGCCCTCTCTTCAGGCAGTGTCTTGTTTCTTGCACTGCTAGAAATCGAACCAAGGTCTCAGGCCTGCTAAGGGAGCACTCCAGCACAGGGCTACCACCCGCGCCCTCGGGGCTTTCTGTTCTGCAGGCCAGCCCTATCCAACACCGTTACTTTCACTTGCTCTCCAAGTAGAGTTCTTGATGGTTTCAGCTAGGTGTTACCTGCTGCTTCTATTTATCTAGTCCTTACAATTTGCTTTTCTGGTTTTGCTTGCTGCATACAGAGATTCACTGCCTCAAACTGAAGCTCTACCTGCCAGGACGGAGGAAAGCAGCACCTTGCTGGTGGAGGCGCAGCTACAGAGAGGACAGAGGAGAGAGAAGTGCAGCTTTTGCCCTCGCCTTCGCTCCTTGCTGGCGCGTGCATCTACCCTGCTGTTCCACTGCTGCCACCCTTCACTGACATGAGGACACAGCTGCAGCCCTCTGGCAGAAGACCAGAGGCTCTCTAGGAATCCCCTAGGCCTGCAGAGTCAGACTGAGAGAAATCCAGCCTTGCAGATGGAGCGGCTAATTACTGGGTATTCAGCCTCTCCAGCATACAGCCAACTGTGAAGGGCCTGGTGCTGGGAAGAAAACGTCAGATGCCCTGGAAACTGAAGCTGCAGATGATTCTGAACCACCATGGGGCTGGTGGGAATCAAACCTGGGTCCTCTGGAAGAGCAGCAAGTGCTCTTAATCACTAAGCCATCTCTCCAGACCTGCCTCCAGACATTACTGGAGACTGGTTTTAGCAGGGGTTACGTCCACCCAATATAGGTTATGCCCACCAAATATTCCCAAGTAAACATCACGTTACTTGAGAATGGTATCTTTGCAACTTTTACAAGTGGTTTTCTTTAGCTTTGGGGATTATAATCCCTGCTTAAAATTCCAGAGGGTGGGAAATAAAGAAAACAACAATAAACACAAGAAAAATATAAGCCAGTGTGATGGTATATGCCTGTAATTTCAGTAGAGGCAAAAGAATCAGTAATTTAAGGTTATCCTTGGCCTGAGTTACATGAGACTATCTCAAAAAAAAAAAAAAAAAAAAAGCAAATAACAGGAAAAGATCTTTTAAAGGCACACACGCACACACACACACGAAGTGCCCCAAAACTCACAAGCTATGGAGACATTCCATGAGAATTCAAAAGATGTGTAAAGTATGCCCCCCCCCCCTTGACAGCTTTTGTTAGCTGTCAATGTATGTGAAAGAATGCAGAAGGGCTTTGTGGAAAAAGCTTGACAGCACTGACTGGGAAGACCCGCCCACTGTGAGCAGTGCCATTCCCTAGGCAGGATCCCAGACTGGAGCTGTGCAGGGAGAACTGGGCGAGAGCAGGCACACACTCAGTGCTGTGTCAGGACTGCGATGTGCTGTGACTCGTGTTCCCACTGCTGTGGCTTCCCTGAATAATGGACTGCAATCTCAACTGTGGGCCGCATTAAACCTTTCTTGTTGCTTTTGACAAGAGTAGCTTATCACAGCAAAAGAAATGAAGAAACTCCCCATTCAAGACTCACGGTATTACAGGAAATTAAGAAACTCACTATCCAAGACTTACAGTATTACAGAAAACTAAGAAACTCACCATCTAAGACTGACGATATTATGTGGGGGAAAGAATGACCAATGCATCTTAAGAGTGACTATGGCCATCCATTCAGGATTCATTCCTAGCTCTTAGCCCAACACACAGATACACAGGCAGATAGGACCACCTCGGAGATTCATGGCTAGTTTATCTTTTATACATGGCTATACAAGAAACAAAAACTTGGGGCTGGAGAGATGGCTCAGCAGTTAAAAGCACCGGCTGCTCTTCCAGAGGTCCTGAGTTCAGTTCCCAGCAACCACATGGTGGCTCATAAACTCTGTAGTGAGATTTGGTGCCCTCTTCTGGCCTGCAGGCAGACATGCAGGCAGACCACTGTCTACATAAAAAATAAATAAATCTAAAAAAGAAGAAAAAAAAAGAAACAAAAACTTGCAATGGGGAAAGCTATTCTTTTTACAATAGTTCTCTCGAATAGTTACTGTATATTAAATCTTAGAAATAATCATTTGTCTGACAGCCCCAGCACTCTGCCATCCCAGGAGCAAAAAGCTACAGCTCTCACGGTTTCTCTTCCTGACTCCTGAACTGGATGAAATAATAATTACCACTTAGTTAGACTTAGGACCTTCTTTCCTGGCCTTTCTTAGGACAGAACCAGCCCAGGCCGATCCCATGATGTGGCATGTAAACTCTCTGACAGCACTGGCCTCTGGAAGACTCACCTGGGATCTGGCTCTCCTGAGGAACTGTGGGCACACCACCTGTGGCAATCAGGATGTGAGGGGCAGTATACCTCTTCCCATTGACCTCGACCGTGGGCTGAGGACCGTCTGCAAATGTTGCATAGCCGTGGATGATTTCTATGTGGGACTGGGGAGGGAACGCTGGCATTAGCAGTCATAAGACTTAGAAAGCAAACACACAAAAAGCACACCTACTGGGGAGGGGTGGTGTGCTCCTAGAATCCTACACTTGGGAGGAGGCAGGAGGATCAGGCACTCACTCAAGGTCATCCTTGGCTATATAGCAAGTTCACAGGCAGTTTGAAGTACAGGAAACCCATCTCAAAAAATATCTAGCTGCCTAATATATCAGCTCCTTACTTCACCAAAAAAGTAGCCTAGGCTAGGCTCCAGTCCAATTATGTAATGGATGACCTCAAAAATCCTGGTTCTTTTGCTTCTACTTCCGAGTTTTAGGATTACAAAGCTCAGACACCTTTAATCTCAGCAGAGGCAGGTGGATCCCTGTGAGTTTGGGGTCAGCCTTGTCTACAAGAGCTAGTTCCAGGACAAGTTTGATAGCTACAGAGAAACTCTGTCTCAAAAGGCAAAAAACCAACCAAACAACAACAAAAAAAACCTCAGGCACCTGTCTCTTGCAGACCAAGTTTTCCTTGAAGTGGTAATCCTCCTGCCTCGGCCTTTCACTGCTGGGATTATAGGCGAGTGCCGCTGTACACCGCAAGATTTTGATTTGGGATTTCTAAACAGTAAGATGGATTCTGTTGCTCACATTCTTAGACCTGCTGATTAGTAACTGATACGCAGGAGAGCTCACCGCCCGTTCGTGCTGGACGTGAATAACAAGAAGTAACAGAGCTACCTCGAGCCAGGAGCAAGAGAACAAAACCCATGCTAGCCACTCCAAGGAAAGAGACAGCATCTTTGATTCCAAGAGCTGAAGGTGAAAGTCTTCCTTCCTCACATTGAAAAGACACTAAAAATGACATGCCAGCGGGGAGGACAAGGGACAAATAAAGGGGAAAGATGCCCGAGAAATACTCTGGCCAACAGAGAAGAGGCAACCTTTTGCTTTCCTTAGTGGGAGAAAAGCTACTAAAAACAACAAACTCCACAGAGACGCTCTACCATGGAAATTCTGAGAGCACTAATGCTTGACCTGCCGAGTAGATCCCTGTCTGTACAAGGGTCAATCCGAGGCTCCAGCCGGCTGTGACCTATGTCCTGGCACACAAAGGTGGATGATGAAAGGCTAATGGAGCCACATATGTGTGCTCACACAAAGGAATGAGTCAGCGTTTTGCTGCATGCCTGGTTCTGAACTCTTTCCTCCCTGCTAACCTCCCTTCCAGGCCTGTTCTTGCAGGTGCCTGGCTTAATGAACTGAATTTAAACTAATGCCAAACCCACGAGCATTACTAACAGCCTTTCTTGGGGGGCAGTGAGTACTCCCTGGGAGAAAAAGGGCTGAGTGGTGACAACACACTTAATAGTTGGGAGAAAGGTTTGCACTGCCTGGGACACAGCATCAAAAGTTCCTTTTGCTGTAGAACCTTCTACCAGCCCTAGCCTATCATAAGATTGGAGTGAACTCTACCACACACCAATCCTAAATTCTGGAGAAATGCTGATTTCTCAGTGACTTTCCTTTTTTTTGGGTAAAGATTTATTTATTTTTATTTTATGGGTGTGGGTGTTTTGCTGCCATGTATGCCACACATACAAAGGGCCCTGCAGAGGCCAGAGGCCAGCATCAGATCCCCTGGATCTGAAATCATAGCTGTTAGCCACCATGTGGGTGACTGAGAACCAAACTTGGGTCCTCTGGAAGAGCAGCTAGTGTTCTTAATTGCGAGCCAGCTCATAAGCCCATCTTTTTTCTTGAAATTTAGTTAGCCACCTTAGAGAAATTCCAATAGCAGCTGGCCATGGCACATGCCTTTTGTCTTAGCACTCAAGAGGCAGAGGTAAAAAGATTTTTGTGAGTTCTGCACAGTGAGCACCAGGCCAGCCAAGGCTACTTTCTAAGCTCCTACATAAGGGAAGGAGTGCTGGACAGATGGTTTTGTGGTTAAGAGGGCCTGCTGCTCTCCCAGAAGACCCAGACTTAGAGCCTATCCCCTACCTCAGGTGGCTCACAACTGCCTGTACCCACGGCTCCAGGGGATCCAACACTGTCTTTGCCCCTATGGGCATCTGCATACATACATACACGCATACGTATAAGCAAAAATAAATCTTTAATTTAAAAAATGATCGGGAGAGAGGGACAGAAGGCAAACACTTGCTGTAGGCAAATACACCTCTGCAGAATTTTCTTTTTTTTTTTTTAAGATTTATTTATTTATTATGTATACAGTGTTCTGCCTGCAGGCCAGAAGAGAGCACCAGATCTCGTCAGGGAGGCTGTGAGCCACCATGTGGTTGCTGGGAATTGAACTCAGGACCTCTGGAAGAACAGCCAGTGCTCTTAACCTCTGAGCCATCTCTCCAGCCCCCAGAATTTTCTTGATAAGAATTTACTTACAAAGTTATATTTCTGAATCCAGTCTGTAAGAAGCTGTTCTCAGCAAAGGATGGACACTGAGTTTCGAGCATGTGCTCCTGGCTTTGGCCAGCACGCTGTCCTACACATCCCTCTCTCTTGATTTAACTGAAGGGACAGAGCTACTGAAGATGCACAAATGAGGGGAGACCTGGGTAGCGAGAACCCACGAGAGTCTGGGACAGCTTCAGAAGAATTCAGATGTAAATATAGGGGTGAGTACTCATTGACACAGGACAGGTTAGCTGCCGCCACAGCTGTTCTGCCCATGGGAAAGAGCAGCACCAGCAAACTGCCTGCTCTGCTCCGACCATCCAAGAGCAGCACCAGCAAGCTGCCTGCCCCGCTTCGACCATCCAAGAGCAGCACCAGCAAGCTGCCTGCCCCGCTCCGACCATCCAAGAGCAGCACCAGCAAGCCACCGGCTCAGCCGACCACCCAAGCACTCTCGTGTATTCTGGCTACAGACCTGGCATACCCTGTCTGCTCTCTGTAGATAGAGACTGGCCTACTGGATCAAAGGTTCCTGATCAGTAAAGTCAGCTTCAAAATAATTAACAGAAAAAAAGCATAGAAGTATTAAGACATGGTCGGACAAGGGTGGTGCACACCTTTAATCCCAGCACTTGGGAGACAGAGGCAGGGGGATCTCTGTGAGTTCAAGGCCAGCCTGGTCTGCAGAGTGAGTTCCAGGATAAGCCAGGGCTACACACAGAGAAACCAAAAAGGAAAGAGGAAGACATATCCAAAGGCTGCATTTTTGTCTGGTCAGATCTGGTGCCTCCTCTAGGACTCCTTGGCCAAGCTCAAAGGCCGGCATACGCACCTTGGTTAAATTGTTTTGGTAGATGGTGTTCAGGCGGCTCACGTAGGCATCACGCTTCTCCTTGATGACACTGTAAAGACACTGGAGTCACTACACAGAAACAAATTTCTTTCTACACCTAGAAGTCAGGGCCTCAACCTCGAAGACCACTGACTATCCGTAAGAATAAAAGAAGTAACTGAAGAGAGGAGTCCCTTGGGCCAGAAGCTTCTCCATGCTGAGGACGCTCAGGGTGCTCCTGTTCTGTTCTGGAGAATGTTCAGGGAGCATCTGCAGTATGTGTGCCTCTGTTTGTGCAGAAGATCAGGAGCTAGACCAGCAAGATGGCTTACTAGGTAAGGGCACATGCTGCCAAGTCTGACTGCCTGAATTCAATCAGTCTAGGCAAGAACTCTGCAACCAAGCTACACACCCAGCCTTGGACATATTCGGACACAGTAAACCCCCGCCCCTCAAAGTACAAATGGGTTTCAAAAGCACCCAGACTTGTAAACAGAACCCTTATAGCATTAACACTTACTGCCAATTGAATTTACTCTCACAGCTTTGGAAGCCATAATCCACATGATCGTGAATGAATTCAGAGTGGACAGCTGTGTTCCACATTACCTATTTAAAAAAAAGTATCAAAATTAGTCACTCTTGAGTGCTGAAGAAAGACAGAAGCCACGAGGGAAACATGACAGACAAAAATAGTGACCTTGGAGTTAAATGGCAACTAAATACATTAAGAGAGAACATTCGGGACCTGGCTAGACAGATTTTATATCTGAAGTATCAGGGAAAATGATAGCATTAATTAGCCAGCCTATCAACATGATAAAAAGTAGAATATCAATGGCCTCATAATTGCTCCTCTGAAGTTTTTTTTTATTCCTTACACTTTTTTGTTTACTCTTCCTCTAATTCCTCTTTTAAACTTTATGTTTTTGTAAGCTTTGTGGATATATATAAGAAAGCAAGCTGAACAAGCCATGGGGAGCAAGCCAGTAAGCAGTGGTTTCATCATGGTCTCTGCTTCAGTGCCGGCCCTGACTTCCCTTTATGATGGACTGTGAGCTATAATAGGAAATAAAATCTTTTCCTCCCCAAGGTGCTTTTGGTCAGGTGCTTGCCACAGCAACAGAAAGCTAACGAGGGCAATCTGCAAATGGTATGTTTGGAACGCCCTTATTCTGACCATGATTCACTAAACATGAGCAAGGAGCAGTGAGGGGAGGCAAGATTAAAAATTTACCTTTTTGGGGACACATCCGACATTCACCTAGGGGAAAAAAAAATGCAAAAAGACACAGGTTAAGAATGCCCAATCTGAGTCAGTCAAACACCTATAAGAAAAATGAAGACCAAAGGTCACAGCATCACCCCGAGACCAGCCACAACTAGTGACAGTCACAGTGAACTGGATCCTACCGTCACTTGCTTGTTCTACCACAATTAGAAAATCATGCAGAGTTCCTCGTGTGACAGAGCAGAACACATGTATCCATTTTTCTCAAAAGGGGGAGGGGCGGTGAGATTTTCTTTGTGTGTGTATGTAGTGTATGTGTGTGCACGCGTGCGCATGCATGTGCATGCTTACCTGCATGGACCTCCACCTTCCATATGAGACGGGCCTCCCACTGAACCCGGTGCTCACTACTTTGGCTAGACTGACTGTTCAGAGAGCCCCTAAGATCTGCCTGCCCCAGGGCCTGGTATAAGCTGCTACATCTGGCTTTTATGTGGGTTCTGGGATCCAGACTCAAGTCATGCTGCCATGCTTATACAACAAGCTTCTCACTTAGCCATCTCCCCAGCCTGCTAACCGCTTTTGATCACTGCCTCTTTATTAAAAGCTGGGGCGTCTAAGAATGCGTTTACGACGGCTTGAGAGTGGGAAATGTGAGCCCTGGCCAGGCGTGGGAGCACACACCTGAAATCCCAGCACTTAGAGAATCTGGATCCAGGGATCCTTAGATACGCAGAAGATTGAGTCTAGCCTAGGCTATATGAGACCTTGTCTCAAATAAAATAAAATAAAATAAAATAAAGACAAATCCAAGCCTGGATCTCACTGCATGGGTAATGTTCTGTGTGTACTAGCAGGAAAGCCGCTTGGAGAAGGAAAACCAGACTGATTTCAGCTTAAAGGGAAAATTACAGATCCCCCGACACACATTCCAGATACTCTTTAACCAGATATCTACTGACTAGGAAGAAGAGATAATTTATCTCGGCTGACATAGGCGGTTCTAAGACAAAAGAAGGAATCAATAGTGCATTTGTAAAAATAATCAGCGTGGGGCCAGTGAGATGGCGCAGTGGGTCAAGATGCTTGCAGCCAAGGCTGACTGGCCGAGGAGGAGAACCAACCAGCACGAGCTGTCCTCTGCCCTCCATACATGTGCCATGGCAAGGAAGCCCATGCACACACGTACACATTCAAACAAACAGATGCACTATTTTTTTAATAGTGCTGCCACATATTTACAAATTGGTGAGCAGTCACCAAAAGCACAAGATTATAAGGCATGTGATATGAAACCTGGATGTTGAGCAACCGCTGCTAACGAAATGAGAAAACCTCAGTGGATCTCATACCCTGAACTGGAGGGTGAGGGGCAGCGGCCTTGGGAGGCCAGGCAGGAAGGAGTTCAAGGACAGCAGGGTTACGTAGAGTTCAAAGCCAAATTATGCAATAGGTGAGATCCTGTCTCAAAAAAAAAAAAAAAAAAAAAAACAACAAAAAAGAACAAGACTTATGGCTAGTTTTTTGATTCCTCCAATTTTCCAGATTCTATTTGCTAAAGTATACCTGATAAAGCTTTATTATAATCCTACTGTTCACTATTATCCTGTACCCAGAGACTGTAAAGGAGAGAATGATGCTTCTCTATGGTTCCAAGTTATCGGGTTTGGGTTTTTTGCCCTCTAGAAAGAGATGGGTCACTACCTGTCCAGTTTTGTTCTTGGAATTTTTTTTTTTTTTTTTTTTTTGGTTTTTCGAGACAGGGTTTCTCTGTGGTATTGGAGCCTGTCCTGGAACTAGCTCTTGTAGACCAGGCTGGTCTCGAACTCACAGAGATCCACCTGCCTCTGCCTCCCAAGTGCTGGGATTAAAGGCGTGCGCCACCACCGCCCGGCCTTGGAATTTTTCTTATATTTATTTATTTTTGGTTTTTTTGAGACAGGGTTTCTCTGTAACTTTTTGGAGCCTATCCTGGAATTTGTTCTGTTGACCAGACTGGCCTTGAACTCACAAAGATCCCCAAATGTCTCTGCCTCCCAGGTGCTGGGGTTAAAGGTGTGCGCCACAACCACCTAGCAAGAATTTTCTTTTTAATTTATCCCACAAGCTAGTAGGGCTCATTATGAAACACACACACACACACACACACACACACGCACGCACACAATGCACATGCACGCACACGCACACAACACACACATGCACACACATATACACACACAGAGCACCATACTTTGTTTTCATTCACCCCAGCACTGCTCCCTCCCATCCCTACACCCTCCTCTTGCTGACTGTACTTGGATTTAAAAAATGAGATTACACTTTAAAATGATTCTTAAAAGACAGAAGCAGGAACCCACAGAAATGAGAGAAATGTACAGAACCCAAGCCTAATAAAACCCAGAACACCTATGCAGCCGTTTGGACACACAATAAAACCCAGAACACCTATGTGGCCGGTTGGACACACTTGGCAGGAAGTCCTCTGTTACAGCTGGATAAACGCTGTCTGCTAAATCACCAGCTGACCAGGCTGAGGCTCTGCTACTCAAGGGAGGCATTTGACAGTCACAGGGACAGCAGAATGAGCCACTCCTAAGGAAGGAGGGTGACAGGGGTTTTGCAGATGCCAAAAGCTAAAATCCCCAGGGAAGATCAGCCCTGGCTCCTTGGTGGGGTGCTCCAGGGTGGGCAAAGTGGGTCTCGGTGCCTTTAACTCACACCCCCACCCTCTGCAGTTTGCAGTATGAGTTCAATTCCCAGCAACCACATGGTGGCTCACAACCATCTGTAATGGGGTCTGGTGCCCTCTTCTGGCATGTGGGCATATACAAAGACAGAATATTGTATACATAATAAATAAATAAATAAGGTTTTTAAAAAAGTAAGTTCCAGGACAGCCAGAGCTACACAGAGAAATCCTGTCTTGAAAAAAACCAAGAAAGAAAAGAAAAACAGAAACGCTCTCCACTTCCTCCCCACCCCACCTCTGGCTCCCCAGCAACCTCAGAAAGCAACCTAAGCACTGGGATGCTCTGAGCCACTCAGCCCCGCGATGACTTTACTCCTCATGTACACCTGAAGCAACTTTGGGCACACTGTAGGTGTTTTGTTTTGTTTTTTTTAAGTGTGCAGACAGGGTGTTGATGCACACTCATAACCCTGGAAGGCTCTGGCATGAGTAACAGGATTTCCAGGCCAGCCTAGGCTACATAAAATCCTAAATTTAACCCATGAAAAATGGAATATGCGTCTGCTTAGGGTCAAGATGGCCAGACCTACACACGACTTACTGCTAAGGTCTATCTGGTTTATTTTTAAGAAGCTTCTACCATTTCTTTTAAACTTGGACTTAGTCATTCATTTCCAGAACGCACTAAGCATCCACTGTGCAGGCTAACGCCCCATGTGGATCTCATCCCAGAGCTTGTAGGGGCTCCCACGCTCTAAACTTATTTAAGGTGCCCACATATCCAACCAAGAAACTAGACGGAGAGGATGACAGAAGACAGCCTTCTTGGGCCAGAGAATACGCACTGCAGTGTCCCTTGTGCACACTTTAGAGCCTGGGGACGGAAAAGAGGGCCAGAGTCCTGAAATAGCGCTGTCCTATTTTGGCAGCCCTGGAGAACAAAAGCTAGGTGCCTCCAGCCACACTCGGTCTTTCTCCTGCAGGTCTCCCCACCGGCAGCAGGCCTGGAGGCCACCAGACACTGGCACCTGGGGCACCTCCAGTATTAGCAAGTGGAAGGCGGCAGAAGGAGCCTCAGGAGATAAATGCCAGCAGCGGATACGCGGTGAGTGGAGGCAAGCTGAGGTGACAGGTGACTCTGTCTCAAAGAAGAAAATTTTAATGTAAAGGTATGGCCGGAGAGATGGCTCGGCAGCTAAGGGCACATCCTGCTCTTCCAGAGGACCCACTTTGATTCCCAGCTCTCACAACCACCTGTAATTTTGTGGTTCCTGGGGGTATCTGACACCTCTGACCACTGTAGGTACCTCCACCCACACATTTAAAAAGATAATATTTAAAGTGTAAAAACAAAACAAAAACAAAACAGGCAGCTCATTTTTGAGGCCCCTTCTAGCTACAGAGAGCTGGGTTTTTGTTTGATTGTTTGTTTGTTTACTTCTGAACAAAATGCTTGTTTGCTCTTCAAAAACATTCGTTTTTAAAATAAAAATATAGCAATTATCACTGCAAGACAACCAATCAACACGGCCAAAGTGAAAAATAATAGTTATTACCAACTCCAACCAGCTCCCCAATTTACAACCTCTTCTGTATTTAACACTCAGGAGAGCAGGACAGCCGGGCAGTGGTGGCGCACACCTTTAATCCCAGCACTCGGGAGGCAGAGGCAGGCAGATCTCTGTGAGTTCGAGACCAGCCTGGTCTACAAGAGCTAGTTCCAGGGCAGCTAGGACTGTTACACAGAGAAACCCTATCCCAAAACACAAAAACAAAAACAAAAAAAAGCCAATGAGGGCTAGTTTATATTTTTAAAGGGAACTTATTGGAATCAAAAGGAAACGAATTGGGCTGAAGAGATGGCTCAGAGGTTAAAGGCACTGGCTGTTCTTCCAGAGGTCCTGAGTTCAATTCCCAGGAACCACATGGTGGCTCACAACCATCTGTAATGAGATCTGGCTCCCTCTTCTGGTCTGCAGGCATACATGCAGACAGAACTCTGTATATATAATAAATAAATAAATCTTTATTTTAAAAAGGAAATGAATTTTCCTTCCAGCAGGCTGGTTAGAGAGCTACACTGAGAAATTAAAGTGCATGCTGGCAACAATACGCCAGGCTGCATGTCGCTAAATCACTGCCTGCCGACGACATGAGCCACAATCTACGGGGCAGTCCTTTCCCGGGCCTGCCCTGCGGGTTTCTTGGGCAGCACCACTGTAACTTTGCTGGTCACTCAGTCAGCCCTTACCACACGCTTCCTGGCAAGATGTAGAGAACAGAGACCCCACAAGAACTGGGTTCCTCCTAATCCCAGGGTCAGCACACTCAGCAAGCACCGGAGCTTGAGCTCCCACGGAGTTTCCCCCCAAGATTCCCCCCAAGGTCTGCGTGGGGAGAGAACTACCCTGCCTTGGGGCGCTTCCCTCTGCTGCTCTGCAGGTGTGGAGTTGTGTGCAGGAGAAGTCCTGGTTTGCACTTCTCAGAGACTTTGAAACTGAATTCAAAGATCATTTCTAATTTGTTTCTTCAGGAATAACTTCAGTGCACTGGGCAGTAAGGGATTATCTTTAATTATTCGAGGGAGGAAGATTCTAGGGGGGTTCTCTCCTACCCCAACCCCCAGCTGTTTTTTTATTTAATCCCACACCTTACAACTACATTTGGTTTTTGTTTGTTTGCTCACCTAAATTCAGAAATTAAGCTCCAATGGAGGCATGTTATTGGGTCTACCCTTTGGTTATATGTTCTCTGATATTGGCTGCAGCCCTACCCTGCTTTGTAATTCCAAGCCAAAGTTATACCACTAGAACGCACCGGACATTGATGTCCCAGGGACACCAGTGCTTGGATGTGAAATGGGAGCTGCTCCACAAGGATGAACCAGGCAAGGCTAGGTGTACCGCAGGCGGCTAACACTGTCATTCTGAGCGGTCCTGTTTGCCGTGGAAGCAGTTTGTCTTCGTTTTCACCTTCTTAATGGGAGCCTAAACCCACCAGCCCCTTCTTTACCAACGCCCCGTAGAACCAACAATGACGGTGGACATCCCAAATCCAAGGTGACATGAAGAAAGAAGTTGGAAAACAAAAGCCTTGAGAGTGCAGAGGTGACAAGCGACAGAACTCTACCATTTGTGGAGGGCAAAGGGCGGGCTCTGGGCAGCATCCTTCGGTCTGCCCCCTGCACGGATTTCTAGAGTCACAGTGCAGGTTAATCATTAACAGTCAATCAAGACTGTACCTTTCTCTCAACGTCCCCCTCCACCCTCATTCCCAGCAGTGGCTTGAGCCTGCTTCCAGCCACCATCTCTAGCTTCATTCATTTCACAAACAGCTACCGAGCAAGGTATTTTAAGGTAACAAGCAGTACACAAATAAAGGAACCCATCCCTGCCCCTAAGGAGTTCCCAACATAGTATAATTTAAACGTCACTCTTCAAAAGGCATTGAGAGAACCCGAGTCTCAGGTGACTCTTGGGTCAGCATTTTCAGTCACCAACAACTCTGCCTTGATCTTGTGATAGGAGAGGGCCACACTAATGTGGGTTCAAGACTTTTAAAAAGATGAAGTTTTTCAATCTACCCCTCTTCCTCTGCGGTGTGTGTAATTTGAAAACTTGTCCCCAAACAATGCAAAACAAACAGTATCACGAAGCTGAGAAACTCCTTAAGATTTTTCTTAAGGTAGCTTGTCGTCCTCAGCGTTGGCTGCAGTTCAGATCAACTGCGAGTTTCTGAGCTCGCTAACACCCACGCGGCACTTCTAGCCACAGCTGGGAGCCTTGGATGCGCGGGAGCAAGTGAGGCAGAACTTCAACTCTCCAGGGGATTCCCATGCGCAGCCAAAGCTGAACACTCTTGCTACCCATGACTCTGCCCTTGAAATCTAGACGAGATCAGGTCCTCATCACTCAACGTCAGAGCCCTAGTCTTCCCCACTCGCCCACGCCACTAGCAGTTTCCCAGAGGCAGTTTCGTGTTTCTCTGGCTCCAGCGCCAGATGCAATACTCCCCCGTATGGAGATGCATGCCGGACAGCTAAGCTGGGCTTAAATGCTTGGCTTTCCTTAGCATTGCACCTGTGTTGCGTGGCCGGACGGCCTCTTTTTTTTTCTTTCCCGCCATCTCCCGGGACCCGGGGCCTCCGAGTAAGGAAGCGCCCGGGACGCCCGCGCAGAGGTCGGGGAGCAAGCGCGCTGCCGACGAGGCCCGAGGGCCCCGATACTCACGCAAGTGCCACCCAGCTTGTGACCCTCCACCACCGCGGCCCTGGCGCCGAGCTCCGCCGCCCGCCGTGCGCTGGCCAGCCCTCCCGAGCCGCCGCCGATCACCAGGTAGTCGAAGGAAGCAGCGGCCGGGGCCGGGGTCTGCAGCTCGCCAGGACTCGCCATGGCGCAAGTGAGCGCGCGCACCGCCCGCTGCAGGCTCGGGGCCGCGCCCACGCTCAGTGCCCGGGGCAGCAGCGCCATGCGCGGAAGTGCGCGCGGGGAGCGGGTGCAGCGTCGGCGTGACTAAGCACCCGCGGCGGGCCGGGCGCAGGGCCAACGTCTCCACCCCTCGATTAGCACCCGCCCCGCAGCGCGTGGATCTGGACCCAAGAAAACGAACGTTTTGTTTGCCCCCTGCTTCTCCGGCACCCGCTCCTGCACTGCCCAGCCCTGTTAGGCCTTGACTCAGGTTCAGAGCCGCTGGGGGCAGGAGACAGAAATTTGAACATTTTTAAACCATTTTTCCTCTTTAACGTGATTCTCTTGTACTTTTAAAAAGACTGGGATAATGTGTTGAGTGGCAGAAATGATCCACAGATGAAGCTTGAAGGCAAAGGCATTGCCTTGCCAAGCTGTGGAAGTTACTGAAATGGAGCTGCTAACTTAAACCGGCCAAGATCCCAGGCAGGGTCTTTGGGAACAGTGTACAGATCACAGAAGCAGAAGACTGGAAGCCCACGGCGAAGAAATAATGAATACTGGTCCCCTAGGTCCCACACACCAATCAGAATGCACCGAATGAGAATGTTATATAGTTCATTGTTTTGGAGTTATTTTTTTCCTGCTTGAAAAGTACTATGACTTGGGAGGCAGAAGTAGGAGGAATCTGGGCTCAAGATGATCAAGGAAAAAGATAGATTTTTTTTCTGTCTAGTATAGTACCCAGTAATAAACGTAGACAGAATAACAGCGAGAAAACATTTTTCAAGGTCACGGTGAAAGCAGCTCAATGATTGTTAAACTCACCAGGTTAAAGTATGAGATAAAGGTATAGAGGCATGTAGATACATATAAACGGTCCCTCCCATACACTGATTTCTTCTTGATCATAAAATGGAAAGGGCACTATTTGTGCAGGCAACAAGTGATCCTCACCTTTAATCCTACCACTTGGAGGGCAAAGGCAGGCAGATCTCTATGAATTTGAGGCCATGAGTTCCAGGCCAGCTAATGCTACATAATGAGACCTTCGTACAACCATAAAAGATGGGGAGATGGCTTGGTGGTTAAGAGAACCCACAATAGGCTCACAACAGTTTGTAACTCTAGCAACCTGAGGTCTGACACCTTTAACCTCCCAGAGTGCCCACACTTACGTGCACACCCTGATGTACAGACACACACTTAGGAACACACACCTGTGATTTAAAATAGATAAGGTTAAGATGCCAGGCAGTGGTGGCGCACTCCTTTAATGCCAGCACTCAGAGACAGAGGCAGGCAGATGTCTTTGAGTTCGAGGCCGGCCTCGTCTACAGAGCGAGTTCCAGGACAGCCAGATCTACACAGAGAAACCCTGTCTGGAAAACCAAAATAATAAAAATAAAATGAGCCGGGCGGTGGTGGCGCACGCCTTTAACCCCAGCACTCGGGAGGCAGAGGCAGGTGGATCTCTGAGTTCGAGACCAGCCTGGTCTACAGAGCTAGTTCCAGGACAGGCTCCAAAACCACAGAGAAACCCTGTCTCGAAAAACCAAAAAAATAAAAAAATAAAAAATAAATAAAAATAAAATGAAGTTGAGATCTGACTGGGCTACAGAACAAGTTCAAGGTGGCATGAGCAACTCTGCTGTGTTCAGCATGACTCCAGGGATGGACCTGACGAGGCAAGAGTATGAGGAAAAGACAGACACAGGAAAGCTGGGAACTGGGTAGACTGGTCTCTCTGATGGAGAAAATGTGACGAAGGCTCTTCTAATGGCATTTTGTTGCTGCATTCTCACATACTGAAGGTGTAGGGATGGAGATGGGGGTTACAGTTAATCTAGGTTGTCAGCTTGATTGAGTTTGGTATAACTAAGAGACAAGGCTCTATGAGGGTGTCTCTGGGAAGGATTAACTGGATGAAGACTCTGAGTGGGAAGTGCCTTCTGGTGGGGTTCAGATGTGAAGGGTTCTGGGAGGAAAGGGCTGCGGCTTGCGCGTGTGCCTCTGATTGCAGGTCATGGAGCATCTACATCAGACCAGACTGCCCAGGTGTCCAGCCTGCGGACTGAGTAGCTACGGGGCTCTCAGCCTCTCCAGAGTGCAGTCAGTTTGACTAGGCAGCCTGTACTGTGCAAACAGACGTAAGACATCCCCTCAGTGAGGTCCACTCCCTCCTGTCAGTTCTGTTCCTCTAGGGAACTCTAAGACAAGGAGATTCCTTTCTGTCTCTTTTATAAAATGCTAATCCCTTTTACCTGGGCAGAGCGCTCATAGTTTAACCAATGCCGAAAGCCTACCTTAAGTACTGTAATATTGTTCCTAATCGGTTCTTGCAGAGGCGTTCTAAAGGGACGGGAACCCTCAAACCATCACAATGACTGTGGATTACCAAAAACCTATCAAATAACATGGAGAGATAAAGAGGAATACGACTTTACAGAAAAAAATGACGACAGCTTTTTATTTTTATTTTTGAAACCTTTGTGCTTCTGTATTTGGGTATTTTACTTGTAAGAATGGCTGTGCACTACTTACGTGCAGCACCTGCAGAGGTTAGGAGAGAACATCAGGTCCCCTGGCACTGGAGTTAGAGGTTGTGAGCTGCCATGTGGGTGCTGGAAATTGAACCAGCATCTTCTGGAAGAGCAGCCAGAGATCTTAACCACTGAGCGATCTCTCCAAGGCCCACAACATCTTTTTAAAATATTGAAGTTTGAAGTTAAAAGAATTAAAAATCAGGCCGGGCGGTGGTGGCGCACGCCTTTAATCCCAGCACTCGGGAGGCAGAGGCAGGCGGATCTCTGTGAGTTCGAGACCAGCCTGGTCTACAGAGCTAGTTCCAGGACAGGCTCCAAAGCCACAGAGAAACCCTGTCTCGAAAAACCAAAAAAAAAAAAAAAAAAGAATTAAAAATCAGGGGGCTGGAGAGATGGCTCAGCGGTTAAGAGCATTGCCTGCTCTTCCAGAGGTCCTGAGTTCAATTCCCGGCAACCACATGGTGGCTTACAACCATCTGTAATGAGGTCTGGTGCCCTCTTCTGGCCTGCAGGCATACATGTAGAAAGAATATTGTATACATAATAAATAAATAAGTATTTCAAACAAAAAAAAATTAAAAAAAAAAAGAATTAAAAATCAGTCAGCGGTGGTGGAGCACGCCTTTAATCACAGTATTTGGGAGGCAGAGGCACGTGGATCTCTGTGAGTTCAAAGCCAGCCTGGTCTACAGAGTGAGTTTCAGGACAGTCAGAGCTGTTACACAGAGAAACAACTGTACTCATCAGGCTCTGTTTTATGCAGGGGGGGGGGGGGGTGTTTAAGAGAGGGTTTCTCTTTGTAACAAACAATTCTACTTATCCTGAAACTCACTCTGTAGGACAGGCTGGCCTCAAACTCACAGAGATCCACCTGCCTCTGCCTCCTGAATGCTGGGATTAAAGGCCTGCACCACCACTGCCTGGCTATTCATCAGGCTCTTAAATGTGCTTAGGGCCTTCAGGGGTTTTTGTTTTGTTTTGTTTTTGGTGTGTTGAGACAGGGTTTCTTTGGTAGCCGTGGCTATCCTAGAACTTGGTCTGTAGACCAGACTGGCCTTGAACTCACAGAGATCCACCTGCCTCTGTCTCCCAAATTCTGGGATTAAAGTCATGTGCCACCACTGCCTGGTTGGTCTTCAGTTTTTATATTGCTTTTATTGATTTGAATGAATGTGTTCACACCCATAAGTGAATGTGTGTGGGAGCAGGACAACATTTGTGAGTTGGTACTCTTCTTCCCCCTTGTGTTCTGGGGAGTCAAACTCAGGTCATTGGGCTTGGCAGCAAGCAAGCCTTTACTGACTGATTAAAACCCAGATTTGTGGGGTTTAATGCATCTTAAATGAACTTTCAACCAGCTTTCCATTTTGGCTCCCCCTTACTATCTTACAATTCTTTGGTATTTTGGAGATTTTGCATCGTCATCATCACAGTGAATGAAACTTGCCTATTCATTGTCATTCCCTCCTTCCCCTTTCTTCTCTCTTGGTCCCTGCATTTTTGTGGTCTCTGTAGAAGAAATAAAATAGTAGAGTCAATATATTATAAACATCAGAATGTGATAGCTGTTTCTTGGAGGTACTTAGACCTTGAAGAAATCATTGCAGAAAACAGTGATTGTTTTCTCTGATTTACAGAGTTGTTTTTCTGAAGGAGCTTTACAGTCTTGGGATGACTTTGGTCACAAGACAGTCCTGGCATACCTGGAGTGTCTTGCACTATTGGGCACTGCAAACAGCGCACAATAAGGACTAAAGTCACAGGGGTGTGATGCTTTCCTTCCGGAAACATTAGATAAAGGGTTTTGGTGTGAGGAACTTGTTTTACTCCCAAAGCCACCTTTGTACCACAATCAATATGTTTCTGCTTGGCTGTTGAAGGTTCAGCTCAGAAACTGAACCACCCTGCTGCCGCAGAACCTGAATTACATTCTGGAGTGACCTTTTCCTCTGATGATTCCATGTAACTCAGAACAGGGGGCTTGGGCTTGTTACTGTGTTAGTGAGACAATAAGCAAACCTTAATTCATGTTTGTCTCTCCTATATTACCCAGAAATCAGCTTTATCAAAAGTTGTTTGCCACCAAACCTGATTCCATCCCTGACACCCTCATGGTTAATGGAGAGAAATGTTGATAATTAACAGAAAATCAGTCAGCCATACATAGTGGCTAATGATGTTTGTCTGTTAGCTTAGCAGCTGCACATGAATCCACTTAGATTTTAATTAAATCATCTGTAGTCCCACGGCCCCACAGTCAGCACTCCACCTGGAAGGACTTCTGGTCCTGCTGGCACTGGCTCAGCTGTGGCCAAGATATGTAGGTTTAAAATATGTCTCAACTGTTCTATTTACCAACAAAGACTTGGAAGTCAGATGTGGGGTGAAAACCTGCTACATCAGAGGCGAGAAGCAACCAGCTGACCTTGCTTTTTGTCTGGAGACCCAGCAAGAGATGCATTTCTTCACTCAACCCAAACCGAAAAGAAGCTACTCCTTCCAGTGTGTCTCTTTATCCATATTCCTGGCTCCACCAGACTCGATGGCTAATTCCA